AGAGGAGACAGGAAAGCAAAACAAACGGAGACAGGGTATCCATACCGGGTATCCTTTAGAATTCCTTTAGTTGCCTCATGTTGCCTCATCTGCTTCCGGAGTCGAATCCCAGGTCGTGACAGCTCCGCGTATGTTTTTGTTCAGCCTTTCCACCAAGTATAGTGGGCCAATCGCCCAATTGAACCGTGAATCAGCATAAATCAACTTAAACACTTCTCTTATGCACGTCTTCCCCCCTTGATTGAATTCGACTCTGCCTTTCCTCGTGGGTGAGTGAGCACACACAATCCCACCAGAAGACTTGAAAAGGGGTGGACGAAAGGCAGAGGGGGTATATGGGGGTATCATCAGTGGACCACGAAAGATGCTACCAGACTACCAGTGTCCATGGACCACCATGGGCCATGGACCACCCCAGTAACACACATTGACTCAGGTAGGCCGCTGCCGCTGGGTCTCGAGGCATCTGAGAGGCGATACAAATGAGGCACCTGGCAGCGGAATCTCCTCGTCTTGCCATCGCTGTTTCAAGGGAAGTGACATGACTCACGTGACCCACATTGTTGACATACATTGTTGACATGACATGACATGACTGGGGCCATAGGGCCAGAGTGAAGCAAGTCTGAGAATGGTATCAGGATTCTTACTTCCATCAGCAATAAAACATATTATAATTCATGAATATTCATATGAATATTATATTATTCAGGATGGTTTTGTGCACTGCAGAGTTTGCTCACCTGCTTCCGATGAATGTCCAGCACATCGTGGATGGAGCGCTGGATGTGCTCCATGGTGGCAGCTGCCTGGAGGGAAGTTCCTTCATCTATGTCATATTCTATGTCTATATTTCTTCAAACCATCTCCAGCTTGATTGCATTTCCAAACTTCTTGCCCCGGCATAGGGGTTTCGGGCCATATCTTCCGAGAATCGGAAACAGGAGCCTGTTAGAAGTGTCCTGGACATACACATGTTACAACGTTTACTTCACTCAACTACTCAACTAACTGGTGATTAACGGGTTTGGAACGAGATCACGAGTTGGTGCATCCGAGGCTGCTCCTTTTTTGTCCGACCTTGAAAGAAGCGCAGCACGAAACGTGCAGGCTCCAGAGTATTTTTTAGAGATTAGAGATATCGTGCGGGAAAAAAAACGAAACTTGAACTTGGAGCAATGCGGGCACAAAAGACAAAAATAAATCTATATATATATATGTATACCTAGATTGTGAAAGTAAAAAGCAAAATTGACAAATATTTGGAAAGGCCAAGACCTTTGGAGTGATGTCACAAATCCATAGCGAGCCATTTATATGAGGAGTAAAACAGGTTGGACTACAAAAGCCCGGGATACCTCTCCTAATGGCTCTATGGATCTATTCTGGATCTACTCTGGATCTTCTACATTGATCTACATGGTCTTCGAATTTCGTCGAATGTCGAGTTGTAAGACAGTGGAGCTCAGCAACGCCCGGGCAGCGGCGGCAGCTTTCAGTTGTTGAAGATGCCAGGAACGAAGTCGCGGAAGTCGCGAAGCTTCTCGGTTCCAAAAGCCCGGACTTCTGTCCGGCAATGGAAAATCCTCCTCTCCAATCCAGACGCTACCACAAAACGCCACAAGACGCTTTCACAAACCATGCTGTGACAACCCAAGAAAAAAGACGGACAGCGACCTCACAAGAATGATTCAATGGAGTCTCATCCAAGCAAACCCTTGTCAATTCCATCGGCCATGAAACTACACGAAGTGAGGCTAGGACACCATTTCCCAGAGTTGCTCTCAGGGTGTCTGAAGGTTTTGCAGTGAAGCAATTGAAAGGTTGAAATTCGGTGATGTCTGGAAATGTGAGGGGAGCAACCACTGCACTGGGCAGTGGTCTCTAAGTTTGTGAGGCTGCAAGCTTCAGGCTGGGGCTGGCATATACCCAAAGGGATGTCTCATCAAAACCAACCTTTTTTTGGGGTCCCTTTTTGTTTCAGACATGGCTGCATGTCTGGATTCCACAGACAGGAAATGATCACAGACCGCGTAAAGCTCCTTTGAGGCAGTCATGTCTCTTGTCAGGAAAGGGACATTTGCTTCACTCATCAGTACATTGAACTGAACATTAATCCATCGAGGATAGCTACATTAGTTGCATAAGTTGCTCAAGTCAAGCAGCCCACAGCGGCACCGCAGCTCAAAAGTTGTCGCGTCGGCGGCTTGTCGCGTCGGACAACGACTTTGTGGCAGCTCCGGGCCAGTCCTCTAGGAAGAGAGGTCCATGGAGATGCTCAGCCCAGTCTCAAGTTAGTCACGTCTCGCTTCGTTCGGCATCTGAAACAGTTTGTTTGTTTTTTGCCTTTTGGGCAATTTATTCTTCCCTGGGGTCTCAATGTGAAAATGGACAATTCTGATGGGAAGACCGAAGACCCTACAAAATCTACGAGTCAAGACTATGCCTTCAGTGGGCTGCTGTCGGGGTTAGCGGCATGACACCACCCAAGGAGGATCATGCTGGGATCAGGGTGGCCCCCAGAGATGATTCACAGAACCATTGAATGCCCATCGACCCAGCATGGTTTTGCATCCCTGTAATCCATGACATGAACAGAGCAGTTTCTAGAAGACCCTCGATGTGATGTCAAAAGCAATAGATTCAATAGATACCATACACTGCATACACTCTCGTTCGATCTTGATTATCATATTGATTCTACTTGACTCTCGTTGAGACCAGCTTTTTTGTTTGCTGGCTCGGCCCTCTGTCCGAGCACCGACTGCGGCGGTTTCGCCAGCAGGAAAACAACAAGGCCAGATCCCTGATTTCCAATGCCGCAACAAATCCGAATCCAACTCAGACACATTCAGACCAGTTTATTCAATATGTTGCTGCAGTGGTCCTTGTCCTGGTGACATATACAAATGCAACAAAAGCATCATTGTCCAAAACAGATGTCAGCAACCATAAGGTCACATACAATTTGTCCATTCAGAAAATGAGAGAAGGCCACACTATCTGGCGGAAAGTGATATATTCATTCTTGTGTCAAACCGATAAACATGGGGAATCCAGGGATGGCCATGCTGCGAGGCTGTCCTTTATCGAAATCCAGGCTTTTCAAAGGAACTGTTTTAATATGTTTTAACTGTTTTGCTTCGAGAATTGGTCCAACTTTGAGAAAATGACTGGTGGCCACGTATCCTTTGAAAGGAAGCACGCGCACGCGCTTCCTGAATTAGCCAGAAATCGAGATAGGGACATCAAGAAATTGTGTCGTCCGGGCATCTTCTGGCTGGAAGAGTCCATCGACCAAAAAGATTTCCAACATGGGACTATAGGGACTAGAATGAACTACCATGGCAAAATCTGCCTGTGCCTTGTTTAGTCAAAATTGCAGGAGTCCTTGCAATTTTGGCAACAAAACGTGGAGTTTCAAAGCAGGGTCCTCATTCAGGGAACTTATTCCTTCATGTGGAGTCTCACAAGGAGCAACTGACATCTCATGCTTGTTCGTCACACTTTCCAAACCCTGTTTTCCTACAACAGAAGGGCAGGAAAAAAGTGCTTCTATGGTTCTTAAGGAATTCCACTGTATCCAAGATATGTATAAAATCCAAACCTCTTCACGCTATGAGGAAATTGCCAGATTTCTCGATGCTGTACTCCTGGACGGCATGTTCCAAACGGGTACAGAATTCTGCTAGGCAGAAAAGCACCGTCTGTTTAGTGTGCGCAGAAACACCTCAGATTGGCTAAACTGTGAAGCGGAAAAAAACACAAAAAAAGTTGAAGTTGGGTCTGCTCACTGCACTGCCTGACTTTAGGGGAGCCTCGTTTTTGGTGGGAATTATCCCGAGAAAAAAAAAAGTTTTTTCAGTGTTTGGATCGCTTTTGATGAACTTGTGGGTCCGCCTTGGATATGGGCAAGGGTCCAAGCTGGGTTGACACTGCTGCCATGACACTCTCAGGAGTGGATCTTTACCGCCACACAGCCTCACAAAAAATAAAAATAAAACTTTGAAAATCTTTGAAACCTCCATTTGTTGGCCATTACTTTGACACGACCAGAAAATTTGAAGCTTATTTGTCAAGCCAAACAATTGACGCATTGCGCTTGGGCCTATCATTTCTCAAATTGTGGATGCTCATGGCAGCAAGGCTTGAAGTTCCATCCGCACTGATTCAATTCATCATCCCTACAGAGGGTTCTCGGATCGGAAGGCAAGCTGCCTTTTCTACAGGCAAGGAATCAAACCCGGCAACAAGCTTAGATTTGTTGCTGCGACAAATCCAACATCTTCAGTCTGAATCCTCATTGCCCCCCAGATATGTCGACCGAGTAGATGATTAATCGATGATTGAGTCTAGTGTGGAATGTGTCAGTGTGGTCATCCAAGAACCTGGTCCTGCCTTCTCAGAAGATTGATCTCGCTTGTGGGCCTAAAACACCAATCGACTGATCAAACACTGCAGTTCGACACTTCGACCTTTGGATGACCCTGGGAGTCCGGACACCACACACAGGAGCGCTGCACAGCGGTCTGACCTCGAAGGCAATGGATGGCAATGGCATAATGGCACTGGTACTATGAGATCTATGAGGTGTTTCATATTGAATACATATTGAATCGCTGAATCACTAGTCAAAGTTGATTGATTCGCTAAATCTACTAAATCCATATCGTATCTATTCATGGTCAACCTCCACCATGCCCACAGACACAGAATGAAAATTTCCGTGTCTAGGCCCACGGCCGCCTGTGTCTATTGCCTGCAGGTTCCGTCGAGGCTCTACTTCTTTTCACCTCAGTTGACCGTGAAAATACTTCGACGTAGAGTGCTTATCGCTTGATTTCTTGAATGACTTGGTCTGTTCCCTACCTTCACTTCTGACCTAGCATGCATAGGAGACAGAGAGCATGCAGTGGATACAGGATGAAATTTGAAACAAATATGAAACAGACAATTGCTGAAGCAGCGCTTGCCGTGCTCCACGCGCTCCATCATTTGTTTCATCTTTTTCCCCGGTGTCGCATCTTCTGCGCTTTCTGCGCTTTGCAGAAGGCGCAGAACCGGTCCCGGTGATGCACAGAGGTGATTGTGGTGTCACCAGGGCCTCCAGGGTACCAGACTCCCACAGTCTGGGTCTGTGCCAAACATGTTGGGAAGGGACGGAAGGGAAACAACTGAAACAACACTAAAGCCACCTGGCAAGATCTGGCATCGCACTTTCATTGACCGACCAATGTAGTTCAATTCGGAAAGCGATTGAAACCTGTTTAACCATGTTCAACCATGCTTAAACACGCATGGAAAAACCGTGCAGCCAGCCCTCCCATCCGCACCTTGTCCGAGTGATCTCCTGCTTCCAACAACAGATTCACCACTTGCAGCTTCCCTGCCCTCGATGCAGCTGTCAATGGCAGATCCATTGGATCTGAACTTTTGTCCTGCGCCAAATTTCGGCTCAAAGGATGAGTCGGATGATGTCGGATGAGTTTTCTTCAAAGATTTCCATTGATTAACCGTGGATTCATTCAGCAAGTTTCACCAGATTTCACTAGATTTCACTAGCAATGCTGGCGCCAAAGCCATAATAACCCGTCCTTGCTGGCACCCACCGAGAGCAACAAGCGCACCACTTCCTCTCGTCCAGCTTCGCAAGCTTCAGACAGAGCTGTTCGTGGTGAGAACGACGATGGGACTCTCGCTGCTGGGAGTTTGGCCATCTGATCTTTGTCAGCTCCAAAGTCCAACAACAAACGCACGACTGCAGTGTTGCCTTTGCGTGCGGCTGCCACTAAGGGTGTCTCCCCACGAGAGGCGCGATCTGGATTTGCACGAGCTTGAAGCAACAAAAGAACCACTTCAGTCTGATCTGCCTTTGCAGCAGCCAACAGCGCCGATTCCGGCATCGATTTAGTTGTTGGAAGCTCGGCATTGGCACCAGCATTCAGTAGCAGTTTCACCATTTCCACATGACCAATTTCTAATGCTTGCTGCAATGGCGGAGTAGTTTTTCCATCAGGATTCGCGGCTGCATCCAACAGCAAACGTAGCATTTTCGGGTCTCCCTGACAGAAGTTGAGTGGAACCCGACCACTATCCCCTGCTTCCTTGTCTTTATCGGCACCTGCCTCTAACAAGAGTCTCACTAGCTCAAAATGCGAGCGCCCTGCAGCTTCATGTAAAGCTGTGTATCCGCGGTGATTCACGATATCCGGATCAATTGGCTCCTGTAAAAAGGCTTCCACGGTAGGCTGTTTCCCCATCTGCACTGCACGGAAGAAATTGCGCTTAGCTTTGATGTCCGGCACAATGAACGACACCAAGAGAAGTTGGAGATCTGCTGGAAACCTGTGCCGAAACAACCAAGTGATATCAAGTGATGCCCCCCCCAGAAGGAAAAGATGAAAAAGTGCCAAGTCGACAGTTTCAATTTGCAACTTGTGACGTCCACATCGAACTTGCCGAGACACTCCAGGTCTTTTAAGGCCAGTTCACCTCCATGGGTCGTCTTGATGGGCAATCATGGCAATCCCTAAAATTGACTTCCATGCAGCCAAACATATCAAACATGGGGGGATTAGCCAAAGACAAAATCACGCCATGTTCTTAAACTGTGACTCAAACATCTAGCTTCACTGTTGAATTTCGAGCCATGTTTGCTTGTGTTTGCCCCGAGCCTTCAAGAATCTGGTCTTTGTAAATGATGCGCTGCCGAAAAATCGACACCTTGACTTGGGAGCTACAGTACCTGAGCATTGCAGCGGAATAAAGAGACCCTGTCAAGCAACATTAAGCCGAATAAGCAAGATATCCTCAGCTGCAGAACCGGAAACGAAAAACGAAAAGAAACGGGGAAAAAAAGCGGGACGAAAGCTCGGATGAGACACTGCTTCAGTGCCTTCACGGATAAGAACCCTGGTCTTTCGACCAACTCGCAGATCTGTTCAGAGCCCAACGTCAGCTCTTCACCAGAGATCCGTTGGATCCGTAAAGCCATGGGATGCGTTGCAAAAAACGACTTGAGCCAAAGAGAGTTTTGATCATGTTTGATCTACGTATGTTTGTGGGTCACTTCTCGGTGAATTTGTCTTGCTACGTCTACACCGTTTTGTCACTGTGATTCCTGTGTTCTTATATGTTCTTACCAACCCCCAAAAAAAGTGAAAATGACTGATACCAAACTAATATGAATGTGTACTGCGCAACCGCAATCTTAAGGTCATGAAGCTTACAGATGGGTAGAGTGTTTAAAAAAAAACATAATGAATCAGTGGAGCCCTCTGAGACACCAGGCGCAGGGAGGACAGGTCCACATAGACGGCGGCAGGACAGGATCGAGTGCTGGTAGGAGACCTACCAAACTTCTGGGGCAAATCTACATAAATCTACCTTCGGTAGATGAAAGATGATATAGATGGGGAATGTTAGGGGTGTACTGTGGCCGCTGTTTGCCTAATTGGATGTCAAGATCCTGTTGTAAATATCGCATCCAACTTGAGGTGTCTGGGGTGATCCTGAACATTGTAGCTAAGCACGTTCTCCCGAATCTCACAAAGTGCTCAGATCCATGTGACTTGGCGACAATGTCTGTCCACGGCCCCATTCATACTCGGTGCCCGGCAAATGTGATCGCTAGAACAATTGATTATCAAACCACACCATCCAAAACACATATATCATGCCAATTACATGTGTCCCAGGAAAATCATTCCATGGTTTTAGGATGTTTTAGGCATGGTTTGCTGTTCCCCGAATTCTGCCTGGTTTCCACTCTGCGTCCAGTGGTTTGCTGCATTGGCTGCTTTGGTGGCCTCAGACGAATTCATGCATGTGCATCCCAATTGGAAAGAGCATAACTATCATGTACACTGTTATAGAATGTTACAGATAATACAGTTTTACAGTTAGATACAGTTAGTTATACCGGTTATACCGTTAAGTTATACCTCAGTTACACCAACTATGCGTCAGCCTTCGCTGAGGATCCCAACACCACCGCCTTTTGCACGCTGGCAGCCGCTCCTTGCAGCAAAGTAGGCCTCAAAATGGCGATGCTTTCTGGGGAACAATGGGAACATTTACAGAAACTCGCATTGTTGTGCCCAGTTCACAGGTTTGGGCACCACACTGGATGTCTTTTCGTGAGTGCATCATTTTTTACAATCCTGTTACACTTGTGATGAAGGTCAGGGGGCGTTGCTAAACCGGGTGAGAGGCTAGGTGATTCTGTCAAGATTTGGATCTTGCTGGGCTCCCTCACCCAGACGTTGGGATTGAAAGGTTCGGTGCCCCCGATTGCACCTGCAAGTGGAAAGGCTTGAACAGAAGCTTCAACATGTTCAAACGATCTCAAATGTATCCGAAAGTCTTTTGCAAATCTCTAAAATTTGGGCAGGAGCTTGGAGAGAAGCTCTCATTTTTTCAAAAATTAATGACATCCGTACCATGCCAAGGTGATCGGGTCATCAAGTCATCCACACAAATCTTGGAGAGGTTGGGCCGGGGCACATCGACGGTGTCATGGGACATGAGATGATTCCCCATCTGCACCTAGCAGACCTGGCCGACCTGGCCGACCTAGCCCTAGCTGGCCCCAAGCTGAGGAGCCCCACGGCAGGCCACGGCATCCCTTGAGTCGTGGGGTAGGTGACAAAGGGCATGGTGTGTTGCCTCAGTGACTCAGTGCGGGTACAAAAAAAAAACTGGAAACCATATGAAACAATATGAAACAATCACGTCATGACAGCCATGGTATGATCTTTGAGTCATTGGCTTTGGAATTGGCAGATTATTTGAGCGGTGTTGAAAATCCTTTTGCAAATTTGTTATAATCCCATGTGGCTTTCGCGGAGCTTTCGCGGTACTTACGCAACCACACATTTAGCTTTCGCGGACGCTGAGTCCATCATGTTTGCTTTCGCGCAGCTTTCGCGGATAAGTTAAAACTAGTGATAGGCAATCATTTCAAGCTTTCGCGGAGCTTTCGCGGTTAGAATTTTCAACCCCTCTTTCACGGGTGCTTTCGCACAGCTTTCGCGCGTGAGGTTTTTACTTTCGCGGAAGTAAGCTAGTTTAACGTTTATTTAAAATGCTTACTTGGAGGTCTTTGACGCTGCTCATTTGACAACTTGAAAACCTCCTGGGCGGACACATGGCAATACCAACACCCTAAAGAGGCCCAGTAGCACGCCCATCTGCATCTGGTTGGTATTCTGCGGCTGTGCGCTTGGCCTTAGAGGACAGGTACATCAGGTGATTCGTTCAAGTCATGAAATGATGGATGCTTTTTGATCCACATTTAAAGCGAACTTAGCGACAAATTCGCCCTGGAACACCTGAGGATCACACGCCTTGCTGGGAGGTTGTGTGGCAGGTGCCCTTGAGTCCTTGGTTGTGAAGAATGTGAAGCTGGAGACCCGGCTTTCTTTCAAAAGCAAAGAAACATTCCGTCGAATCTGGGACTATTCTGGGGAACAACTAACACACAGAGGATCCTACAGGCAAACGAGCTATGGCCAGCTGTGGCCAGCTGTGGCCAGCTGTGGCCAGCTATTCAAACTGCCACAGAGACCACAAACCACAAAAGTTTCGGTAACGAGGCTCTGATGCCACTGGGGAGGTTGGTGCATGTGGCGACGTTGGTTGCATCATGGTATTGGCAGACTCAGCACCTGGCAGACTTTCGTGTCATGCGTCCCGGGTTCAGCGTTGAAGTAGGAGAAAGTGACAATATGTCACATCATATTTGACATCATGATGCCACCATCATTAAGGTGGACAGTAAGTATGAGGGGAAGGATTGGGTGAGGATACCGAAAACCAAAGCTGAAACAACTGAAACAAGTCAACATCAAGTCAACATCAAGTCAACATCAAGTCAACATCAAGTCAACATCAAGTCAACATCAAGTCAACATCAAGTCAACTTGTTTCCTCTGCATCCGATGTCGAAGTTCCGAAGGGTCTGCCTGCGGGTCCCGGAGTTCCTCCAAAGAAGCACTGTGGCCCCTCGAAATAGGCTGACATTGGTGACAGCCCCATTCCCTGAGCCACAGGTGGAAAGAGTGGAATGAGTGGAATGAGACATCTTGAGTAAAGACTATAGAATCCTACAGAGATACATAGAGTACAAGTATCATAGAGTAAACTTGGAACGTTGATGGCGACTATGTACTACGCTCTAATGATATACTAGAGCTCCAGGGTGGGTGTTTTCACAGAATCTCACTTCAGCTTTCGAGAAAGTTTTTACAGTTGAGCACCGGACACCATTGAAGTATGCCTGGAGTTGGGACAGGATCAAATCAACAAAACATGGCAGGGCACTATCGCAGACCTTATACATATATATATACCTTGTCTTGGGCCAGATTCGAAGAGATTCCTCCAATGAGCTCTTGATATCTCTTGATTGCTGAACTGAACCCAGCAAGTCTTTCGAACACTCACGAACACTCAAGTTCATCAAGACTCCGGGAGGCAAAGGTGACGCACAGCGCACCTCGCATGGAGATTGCCCGCCAGGGGACCGCAAGGAGCGTGGTGTCGTGTCTGTCGACCTGTTTGCAACAGAACTTCGACACATTTTGACGCACCTTAGGACCTTTGCTTCCGCTAGTCACTAGATGAGTGGATTCGGACATATTCTGACTCTTGGATACTCTTGGTGGCTTTATAGACCATGACCATGATAGACCATGATAGACCATGATAGACCATGATAGACCATGATAGACCATGATAGACCATGATAGACAACTTGGATAAGAGGTGATGTGATGTGATATGCTTGCTGAAACACAAGTCATGATCGTATGGAACATGAGCACATCCGACCCTACTAACTTGGATGCTGATATGTTGAGCGAGGAATCCATAATGGTCTAAATTTTCTAAATCTAAGCATTGCCCACCATTCCTTGGAGTCTCAAAGGTGTTATAAAATGTTATAAAGATTTCTAAAGTCCCTTCTTTCAAGATCTTTCAAGAGGTTTCCCACAGTTTCCGTGCAAAGCGGCTTTGGGAAGTTGCGGGTTGGCAATGGCAGCTTCATGTGCGAGGTCATGTTGATCCGAGGACTCCCAACCTGGGCGAAACTTCTTTGCCAAGATGGGAGTTATTTCGGAGTTTGGGCCAGTTTCGGGGGTTGAAAATGAAAAAATATCGTGAAATGTCATGAAATGTCATGAAATCACATGAAACAGCAGGGATTGACAAAGGCAGTGGTGAAAATCTGTGTTGTTCTTCAAGTCAAAGATGTCGCAAAATGATATGCCTGGCTGCCTGGCTACAAAGTCTGTGTTTCTTCCTCTTACGTCCATTGGTCCCTGTACGAGTACCAAACCAGACATTGGCCGAATTTTGGAAACCCTAATTCTCGAGACCCCAAACTCTTACACAGACAGCTTCTACAGTAGTTGTCTTGGTAGGCCTGAAGGGAAAAAAGAGGGATCACATCTTCTCGGCAAGTGGCAACGAGTGCCCGATCTTCACTTGTGGAGGCTTGAGTGTTCAAAGCAGCTGCGGATAAAGCGAATCTAAGGGATATTCCCTGACAGTTTTTGCCGTGTAGTTCAAGTATGTTCAAGTGACAGCCAGGGCAAAAAAACAAGTTGCTTGCATCATTTTAAATTTCCATCTCAAATGTTCAGGAGAAGATGTCGATCTCAACCTTTTCACTGGTGCAATGATCTCTCAGCGCAGATTCTTAGAGCGGTTTCCAACAGAGTTGTTGATCCAAGAAATGAAATGGTTCCTAGCTGCCCTAGCTGAGTCCCGCATCAAATGGCCCAACCCGTTACAGATTGACATCTTTCATGATGGCCTCACGACAAAAAAAGGAGATCTTGGGCACTTCCAGCAGCTGCAGCCAGGTGTTTGAGGACCTTCGGACTCGACTCAGAAATCCCGAGGAATCTGCGAATCCGGGAGCTTTTCAATACGGTTCGAGATGTTTCTAGATCGTTGTCATCAAAGATTGAGAGAAAGCCGAGGGAAGCTGCCGATGGAACTCAATCTCTTTCTAGTGCAAAGGACATCAGTGCATAATGACCTCTTGGTGTCCTGAAGTTGAGCAAACCCCAGATATCCTCCCATCACCTGGTGTGTGTGTGTGTGTCAATCCTGTGTAACTAATCAAGTAGCAGTATCTGCATGGAAAATCATGGAATTTATAAAATCGATGAACCTGTCGTTTTCCCGTGAACGGCAGCGCACTTGAGGTGCATCATGATGTTTTGCCACTGCTTCTCGACTTCAAAGAAACCTTAGCACGGTTTCAGTGCTTTCGGACGGCCAAAACATGGCAGATCTACCATCTGAGAAAAAATAGCAACACAATGATTCAATGAATGTAATAAATAATCGATGTATCAGTATGTATCAGTATCTTTTTAGGAAAAAACGATACAATCCAATTTGATGAGGTGTTCGTCGCAGCCACAAGAGACTTGCCTAGCTCTTGCACAATTTGTCCATGCAGCTGCAGTGCTACATGCTTCAGCCATCCCCATTCACCTTGACCCTTCCGTGCCCCCAGACGCTTCCACTCCTTGTTCCGTTCGGTGTCACGTTGCATGAGTTCCTGGTAAAATGGCAGAGGTCCACATTTTGGATCTACCAAAAAAACAACAGGACGCTTGATACACTTGGATGTCACGTTGATTCAGATTGGTCCACTTTGATACACTTCTGTTCCGGTCGAGCCATTTTGCATGCGACATCTCTTGCACAGTCCTTCACCAAACCTTCCTGCAGCATATGTTCTCTCGCCAAGACATAGCCTTGCTCTATGGAGATCGTGGGAGGATTCTTCCTTCGGGGAAATTGGAATCAAACATCCCCTAACATCTCCTGTTGTGACCGGTCACTTGCGGGAGACTGTCATAAGTTTGAGGCAAACATGCTGCACTGGGTTTGGCATCTGGTAGTAACCAATCGGTGTATCGGTCTTGCACACCAACAAAGCAAATACTCACGAACCACTCAAAGGGGGAAGAGCCAACCCTTTTGAGTCGAATCTAATGAAAAGCGCACAATCGCCTCTGATTGGTAAAACAATGAAAACCATTGAAAACCCAAGTCTCTCCAGGGTAAACAAACGAACTGAACATATCTGAACACCCTTGTCGTCAAACTTCAAACAGACCTTTCGAATCCTCTCGATTGATCCTGTGATGATCAGACGTCCCGATCGCAAATGATGTCTGAGCTCAGCTGCCATATTGTGCTTCATGCAGCCGGTCGCACAGCTCACCAATGATCTCGAGAGTTTCAAGGGTCGAAGGCCCCGATGTATCACAAATGCCCTCACGATCCCAAAACAAAACACATGACATTATGAAAAAATCCGGATACATTTTTTGAACATCATGTTGTTGTGCACAACCTCTGGCAGAGAAGTACAGTACCTTGGAATGTGAGTTTTACAAAGTGGAGGGTTTGTAAAGTGAGAGCTGAAGCAAATCGAGTTGAGAGCCATGGTATCTACATTTTATTAGGAAAGCAGAGAACAAAAGCGCTACGGAAAAGTCATGAACCCATGCATGATAATGTATACTTTCCTGCATTTGGCTTGCCCCCTGCCCTAAAATGGCCTAAATGTACCCAGTAAATTACCCATAATTACCATACACAATGATATGGATAGCCAGTTTTCTGGATAGAAATGGCTGTGTGGCCTTGAGTTTTGCATCGTGTGCCACCAGGTCCTGGAAGGAATCTTGCCAAAACAAGCATCGGAAGTCCTGTGTGTCAACCTGTACTGTTTTAAGACATGTTTTAGATGTTCAAACGGGTACTCAAATATTTCATGAGTTTATTGCTGCAGCTGGCATATCAGATTCATAGTAACTAAATAGTAAAATTGAAAAGTGCAGTCAGTCCCTTCGGCTTGCTTTGGACCCAAGGAAGTCGCACAAAAAAGGGACTTATAAACTGATGCTGCATGATGCAAATAACCCAAGTCAGCATGTTCACAACATGCCGAGTACAATTATCCCGGTTGGTCAGAGTCCACAGCATTTTGGATGCAAGAATCGGGTTCATGCCTACAACACTCAAAGGGAAATTGTAGTCAACGCATGTCCAAATATGCACCAATACCAAATAATTACAAGTTAACCAAGAAATGAATGACACAACACTTTGGATCTGTGAGCAAACAAAGACCTTTGTTCATTCAACCTCATAGCCTATTTGACGCGAGGAAAACCTGACTTCTTTGCCGCATCTTTGTCGCATCACGAAGTGGTCCGCAATTCGATCTCGCGTGGTGGCCGGGCCTGTGGCAACTGTGGCGACCCGGTACGGTCACAGGCAAAGTGGCAGGCGTACAGCCGCAGAGCCACAGCCACCAAAATGAACGTTTCGCTCTGGCAGATTCTGCGTGTGCCATTTCTACTGGCACTGAAACCGTCTGTTCGTGAACAAATTCTCCTGCCCTAAGGGAGAAATTCACGACAACCTGCAAGTCTTGAGTGTCTTCTGGCAGGGAGGTCACATTGACATCAATGTCACGAAGTGGACCTCAAACCAGGCATCTCGAAAATCCACGACGCTCAGGTTTGACCTCAACGCACGGACTCTCTCCCTCAGGTTTATGCCAGGCAGCTTTTTGCAAGCCACAGACACAACTTGAGGATTCAAAAAATCTTCTTCTACTCTCCGCAGCAGGCCTTCTTGGTGAAAACCCGCAACAGTATCTTTGGGAATGCCTCCCAAGGGTGAGGTCACAAAGAATTTTGGACTTTGCCAAACGAGAGCGTGCCTATTTTGCTCAGAGTTGTAGACTGTAAAGAGACATTCATAAACATTGGCTAGGCTACAGCTGCGCGGCATTCATCATCTGGTAGAACCAACTCGAATGCTATGATGTGTTCCTCCGCCACAGTCTCCTTTTCCTCAACAAATGCCACGTTCATTATCCCATGGAATACGGAATGCGAAGATAAGTTTAGCGGCAATAGAATACATCGAAATTGAACCAAATCGCCTTTCTCCAGAACGAAGCTGTCAACATGTGACCCTTCACCTCTGAGATGGTCAGACTGCTCGTATGATTCGTATGTCAGGTGGCCGCACAAATGCTGCGCATCCCACAGTTTGAACTTTCGGTCCAGCGATGCATCTTGACAATCGATACGGAAAACCATGAGCCTCACAGGCAACCCTCCGAGCTTCCAAATCTGCAAACTTAAAACCACGGCAGCTCAATGCAACTCCTAATTTTCATGGATCTGTTCACTGGTCCTCGTTGTCAATGAAGGTGCAACTCCACACAGTCAGCACAGCTATGGGAAAGAGACAATACAATATTGAATCAAAGAATCGATCTGTTATGTGCAGAAGAGAAGGACAGAGAATTGGAAGAGAGACTCCGAAAGGCAGAAGAGGCTGCCAGAGCAGCAGTCAATGAACTATGGGAAACACGTTTTGAGATGGCTAAAGATGAATTAAAAGAAGAAATGCGGAAATATGCGGAACATTGTGTCGTCCACAGCAAGTGGTGCGGATCAAAGAATACCGGTCGTGGCTTCGACAGAAATATCTCAATTGTCGCTGCACCTTCATTCGCTCCAAGATGCACCCGGTGTCATGAACTATTCGCAAAGGTTCTCGAGACACCGTCACTGTGGGGACATCTTTGGCCTGACAAAGTGTCAGAGCCAGCAGCCACGAGGACAGTGACATCTTTGGTCAACCCATAGTGACAGCCGACAGGGAGCACCCCGTGAGCATCTGAGCCAAGACCAGTCCCAGCAAGACTCAAGCATTTGATTTCTGAATATAGTTGTTCTGTGCGATTGGAATCAAACGCGTCTAACTTTTGCAACAAGAAGTCCAACGGTTTCAGTAGCTCTCGCGTGGGCTGAAAGTCTCCTCTTCATGTTTCTACAAGTCTGTCATGCCCAGCAACACTACTTCATGGTCATGATCCTGCATTATCAGTCCTACTCTGTGGGATCAAAAGAGGGGCAGGCAAAGGGACGCCTACACACAATATCTCAAAATTGAGTCTTTATCCCAGTTTTGGGGTCAGAAATGTCAGTAATCTTGAGCCGTACACATAACCCAGGCTGCCAGCTGACACCGCGCAAGTCTCCTTCTCATGTACCGCTGCGTTGGGCCTGCGGCCAAGGGTCCTCACCTGCAAAGCGAAGACTTCCATGGCAGCTATAGCTACTGTGCTACTATAGCTACTGTAGCTCCAAATGCTCCAAAATCTGGTGCCAAAGGGGGCATCCATCACCATCTGTTTTTTGATGGTATATTGGCCACGGACAATATTTAGTATATAGCTCCAAGTCATCAAATTTTGAAGAGTGTATTATCGTGTTTCAGGTTTTGCGAATATAGCAAGTGTTATCGTTTTTTGAGGAGTGTATATTATCGTTTTCCAAAGCCCCAGCTCAATTTCCAAAAAATGAAAATGTCTCGAATAATACTTTCCATTACGCTAAATTTTAGCTGTAGCTCATATACGGTATGACATGGAGTTGTTCCAATGCAAAAGAACAAGAATGAATGGGTTCCGTGAGTCGCAACGGAAACTGATGTTTCCGCAAGTCTCAAAACGTGGGCACGACCTGCTGAGACGGTATTTCCTCAGCCTTACTCTATGATATTGCACTATATTGCACTTATACATAAGACTTATACTTTTATATCATATATATATATATAGTCCTCATATATATATATATGTATCATTATATATGGACTTCTCATATCTATATCTATATAATTATATAGTCCTACATATTTCCAGCATTTTCCATCTGCAGCCCTAACAGCCTTGGCCATCTGCTCGGTGATGAGCTCCCAAACCTGGCACGGCGCAGCTGGCACAGCTGGGCCCTGACATTTATTAATTAATCATGATGAATAATCTGGTTGAATAAGATCTGATTTGTTTGTTAATCTTATTTGATTAATCATGATTAATCTATATATAATCTATGTATATTCATGGGTTTTATAGATTCAAAGAAAACACCAATGATTGTTGCTCCTAGACAGCACCAGACTCAATTTGCTGACAGACTATGCGGATTAAACTGTAACTTGTGAGAGCAAAAGTTTGTGTTTCAGCTGTCCTTTTGACGTCTCCAGACTGTGGCGAGTTTGCGTTCCGCAGGTCATGTGGACATAGATCAGTACTGGATGGCACTGGTTCATTAATTTTATACAAATACATGTATATAACTTTATTATGACTCCCGCCAAAATTCTATGTGAACAAAGAGAACAAAGGGCCTCAGCGTGATGTAGGTCAGCCACCAAAGAAGAGGACTCCTCCTGGACGACAGCCACAAATATGCTGCAGTTGGAATCTCTGTAGCAAACATCTGGTGACTGAATTTAGTGCATCCTCAAATATGCAAATGCAATTGTGACTGCTTCAAATATTGTTTCATCTAAGGGCAAGGGTGTGGACAAGTCTTGGATGCTTGACTTTGCAAAGGATGCTGAAAGACTCTGTTGGCACAGAATCAATATGTAAAGTCTACACTTGTTATGTAACGATTCATTGAATACATGTTTGCATGTATTCTCATACTGGCATTGAAATTCCAGTTTCTGTCTTGTCCCGCTTCCTGTTCATAGCCTGTCTGTCCGTGCATCATCACGCAAATGAAACGGTACTTCTAGATTCGCATCTGAAGAACTTCCCCCCAAACTGCCTCCACTCGGTGTTCATCTTCTCCAAAAACACCTTGGTAACTTCAGCAGTTGCCAGTGAAGTAACTACTGCATTGACAATCTGCATTGTGGGGATGGTTCATGTGCAATTAAACTGGCATTTCCGTGCAGTGAGACTTATGAGACATTGTGCCACACCATGGTCCCGGGGGTCCAGACCAATCGGCTTGAACTCGAAGTGCAGCTTGGCCCAGTTTTCCTGCATCCTGCAACGATAACACAGCCACCACAGCCACCACAGCCACAGCGTCAAAAGTTTCAAAAGTCTTTGTCGAGTCCCGACCTTCGCAGCTCTTCTTCGATCAACATCTCTTTGGAGGCGGTTTCCGAAATGGCCTCCGAAAGTCTCCGAAACATCGAAATCTTTCGAAACGCTGGTGTCCCGGTGGTGTCCCGGCGGTGTCTCGTTGCTCCATGGTGATTTAGGTGACGGGTGTGGAAGTGGCTGTGGCCATGGGCAGCTGAGGTCCACTTGCAAAGATGGGAGGGTTTTTTCCCAAACATCCTTCTATATCCTCCTTCTATATCCTTCTATATCCTTCTCCACTGTTGAAAATTGCTGACAGTGGTCCATCCCTTGGCAGGTTACACCTGGATCTTGGCGAGGTGTGCCACCTTGGTCCAGTCCCAGCAAGGCCCCAGATTCTAGTTTATGTCATAGTTTATGTTGATTTGAATTTTGAACTATTTAGTGGAATTTGGGCCCAATTTGCTCCACACGCAACTGAGAGGCTTCTTTTCTGGTAGATCCGCGGACAATGTCATGTTAGCAAATCATAAGGTGCTGACAAAAATAGACCTGGAGGAAAGACACTGCAAAGTGCTCCGAAAGGTCACTTGTTCGAGGCTCTGGTTGAAATCCCACCCAAATGTCAAGCTCTCAAGACTACTTGGCAGGGTCAAACCTTCCATACTCTGGTTGAGTCCAAATTTCAAGCTCTGAAGACTGCTTGGCGGGGTCACCCTTTCCAGGCTCTGGTTGAAATGCTATCCAAATGTCAAGTTCCGCAGGCTGCTTGGCAGGGTCACTCGTTGCAGGCTCAGGTTGAAATCATCCCCAAATGTAAAGTGTTCAAGGCTTTTTGGCAGAAGCTTCAAACACATGACAGTTGTTATACCTGCTATTTGCGCAATCCCTTCGACAGCAATGCGTGCATCGGGGGCCGGGGATCCTTGCTTTTGTATAGAACACCATGCTGCATAAACATCTGTTGGAACATAAGTGCAGGAAAGGCTTGCTTCCTTGTCTGAAATTCCGTGCTCTTGCAATGACAGGTGGAGCACCAGCTGGGAGTGTAGCGCCTTTCTTTCGCGGAAGTTGCTTTGAAACCATCTCGTACACTTTCCAGCCCGTAGAGCAACCACTGAGCTCCAACACATATCCTTCACCATTCAGGCAGAATACTTGAAGATTAATCATATCAGAGACACTGCTTGGCCCCACATAGCCGCTAGAAGCGCCACTAGACATCAGCTCTCAAGCACCGGGCTTTGCCACCCATAAAGCTCATAAAACAGTTAAAACCTTCCTTGAAAAATGTTGCAGTTAAGTCGAGTCATAGCTTCGTGCGATATGGGAGGAGGTTGCGATGCTGGAATGCCCAGCTTTCAAGTGTGGGTTGATGCGATAGGTGAGAAAGACCGCGATACAATCATGCAACGACTAGATGCCAATATATATATATATAAATTTATTATGAATCTTTTAGATAAGTTTTACTCGAATCGCAGATCTCTTTGCGAGATCTTTTTCAAGATCACTCCCAATACCCGTGAGTTTCCGCACAAACGGGAACCGTTCGTTCATGTTGGAGAGGTTCATCTCCTGCACATCATGCTGCACAATGCCATGGCATGTGCCAATGTGCCGTGTCACAAGCCGAAGAGCCGAAGGTGCTTCTTCTGGCTTCAAAACTGGAAACCCATGTTTGGAATAAAGTCTGGAATTTGAAACATATCCCTGGGTAAAGCCAAATATATCCAAATAGTTCCAAATATGCTTCTGAATCATCGGCGGCTTTTCCACACCGGGCTGGCGTCTTTGTTTGGGCTGCGTTTCTACAAATGGCAGAGAGTATTTTACACATTGATCCACTGCGTAGGCTGCAGCTCCTTCATCTGATTCGCTTGGATGTTCTGATCAATCGCCTCGCCAATCAACGTCCTGGCACTTGAGATGCCACGTGCATCTATACTCCAAGATCATGTGCCCTTTCACGGATTCCGCTGATCATGTCCACATCATTTAGCATCTACTGTCTCTGATGTGAATTGGAAAATGTGATCCCTTGACCCCCATCAACTCTGGGTGCACTGGCCAATGGCGTTCACGAAGTCCCGGATTGCGTAAGGATACGATGACCTATGGACATGCTTGGAGCATGATTTCCATGATCTCCAACTTTTACAACATACGCTTGCAATGGTCATTCTTCTTGCTTCGGTGCATATTATCATATCATTCGTCCAATCCATCCCTGCTTTTAAGACAACCAGTTGCATCAAACATCGAAGATACCCGGAAATAAAGAACAAAAAACTGATCTTTGCACCCCTGGAACAGTGAAGAAATTGACACACAACAATATTCTGAAGCGCAATGTCTTTATACAGCGGAATCTGTTGGTCAGCTGAGCCCCAAAAAAAGTCCACACGGGTCTCCGGGCAGGCAGGAGCACACGCAACTCCGTGAGTTCCAACGACAAGGAGTGCAGCACCTGAACCGCTTCAAAGGTGTGGTGTTGCGTGTTGAGCTCCAAAAAATATCCCAAAATGGTGTGGGTATCGAGCCCAACCTGCCGCGGTCTCAGCTGCGTAGCAAAAACCTGCCACAAAGCTGATAAGACGATTGCATGAGAGTCCCAACAGCCATTTCGTGCAACAATCATACGCATACACACGTTTTCATTGCTACCATCCAACCTACTTGTTCCAGAAATTGCACTTCTCTGCAACTTCGACCAGTCGACCCAATGTCCTTTGCAAAGTGATTGGAAACTGATAGCCATTTGAGGCTGCGGCCTCTTCCAATCGCTTCATGGTCTCTGTGCAGCTCTGCAACTTTTGCTTCACCCCGTTGGGGTCGATTTTGGACTTGGCGCAGGCTTGCGACCAGAGAGGGAGGGATGGAAATGCATCAGAACATGCTCAGAACATGCAACACACCAGAACAATTTGATCGTCTGTCCATGAAACATCATTTTGCTCAGAGGATTGCCCGTGGAGAAGACTGCACATGACCTTCTAAAGAATTGCAATTTATAAACAAATTATATCAAATTATAGACAATATTGTAATATAATATAATATAATATATATATATATACACATTGTATACATTCCTTATCTGTAAAAGTTCAGTGAACCACCAGCAACGGCCCGGCAGTCCCAGCTGTGTCTCACTTTTCTACCGAGCATTGGCTGTCTGTTCTTGCATCCTGTCACAGGAATGGTATGAACGGCACATAGGGTAGGAGTGTGAATCATGGTTGAACTCATATTCTCTGGAAAGCAAACTGACCGGTTGATCCATTTTTGGCAAAATAAATTTGCTGCATCTGAGTTTGATGATCATACAAGAGCCAAACGGGGTCCTCTGTACAAACTGATCTCGTTGTGCTCTGAGTTGTTGCTGATGAGCAGAGTTGGGGCTTGTTGGCACCACCTCGCAGGGTCGCCGAAGACCTGACTGCCTCACCATTCCTATCCTTTTTGTGGTATGGTACGGTATGGTTCTTCAACACCAAGAAACTCACAAGTTCAATCCCATGATTCCAGCTTGGTTTGGTGGGCTGGAGGATTCAAACAAGTTGTGTACAGAACTCAAGAATACTCAAGAACAATTTTATTGAAAAACAGTGAGAAAAACATCATTCTTTTTGTAAACTGACCTCCACCTCTGCAACGTCCTGTGGTCCTCTGAAGAAGCAGCAGCAACCTTCGGTTAGACTGTTTTCAAGAGTTTTCAGGGCTGAGAAACACAAGAGTCACATTTGATGACCCTTCTTCAGTTTTGATGCACTGTCGAGTCTTTCTCTACAGTGAAAATAATCAAGACCGATCAGTAAAATATAGAGTAGAAATGAAATAGAAATAGAATAGAAATGGAATAGAAGTGCCAAGCAACAACACCTGGAGGAACTTCGACCCTGCAGTGGCTGACCCATTTCATCACCTCCACGGAAAAGAGCGCAGAAGCTCTTCCATCCTCCCGAAGTCAAGGGCTGCTCATCGTCGAAATCCGATTGGTTAATGCGATGCACCACGCCAAAACGATCCCGCTCGGTTCGACGCCAGCTCTTTGCCACCTGGCAGCGATCTGACAATGCTATTGTGAGCATGTCATAATCTATAGTGATACTATGAATTACTATGAATTACTATGATATACTACGGATTACGTAATAGTAGCACTTGAACTCATCCTCTGTGGTGCTGTGCTATCAGGAAACAACTTCAAACGCAGCAAACCCATTCACCGACTGCTCTTTGATCTCCTTGGTATGCCTTGGTACTACAGTCTGTATCTCATGTTTCTCATCTTTTCCACATCTTTTGGTTCATTCCTCGAATGGTGGAAACATGTTGAAACATCCATCCGACAGGCCCCCGCCTCGAACAAAGAATGGGTGTGAAGTTGCCGTGCCTTCGGAATACACTGAAAATACACTTCCCCCGTGTGACCCGTTCCCCGCATTCCTGCTGCCTTTCACGAATTGCATCTGAGACGTGTTTCAAATATTTATTTGTTGATTTTCCGTTTCTAAATATGTCTAAATTTCTACATAATTCTGTACTTGAAACATCTTGAAACATCATCAAACTGTTTCCTCCTCGATTTCACCAGCAGCTGTGCCTTCCGCAGTTTCCCAATTCGTCGTGCCTGGCGCTTGGCATCTGCCGGGTCTGCTCGGAAATCCCGAGATCCCATGCCTCGATGAGACTCATCACGCCCATCCATCCAACAAGGCCACCCAGGAAGCCACGAGCTCCCTGTTCAATCAGGCCATAGATGGCCCAACCCTTAGAGTGTCGATGGCATACCAGGTTACCATGGCCATGGTGAGACCTTGCTGGATTTCCTTCCCACCTTGACGTGTCTTGATGAACTTTCGTAGAATGAACAGCAATGAACTGATGCAATTTCGTGCAGTTTCCAGCTCCCAAGTCTATGGTACTGGTAGCCTTCGATGCCAACCGACCGTTGCCACAACGACTCGTCTCCAAGTTGCAATGAACAGCAAGCCGCAGGGCACAGAGGTGCAAATCAACACCATGGCTGCCTGCACTGGCCCGGTTCCCACATCTTCCCACCCCACCCAGTGTCTCACACCGACAGTGCCCACCTCCCTAAGGTTCGCAGTGGTTTGGGTCCAGAATGTTGTCAAAAAATGTCAAAAATCCATAAGAATCCAAACATTCAGTTCTTCACTTTATGGGTTCATCCAGGTGGGGCCTGTATCACTAGAACTGGTCAGATGGCAGAGCTTCCCTCTCCCTGGCACCTTTCTGGGCGTCACGCCACAGAAGAACATCAGACCTGTGACCTGAATCTGTTGAAGCCAAAATTATGACATTTATCAAACTAATCATTGAAAGCATTGGAGTCGTTGGAAGAATCTAAATATTGAAGCAAGTTGGAGCTTGGCGTTTGTGCAAGATGTTTGTTCATCTCTTTGAAATGGTTCAGAATGCCTCTTTCGCAATGTTGATCGGGGCCCAAACAAGCAATTTGGCTCCATCTGCAGGGTACATTGGAAAGAAGACATTGAAGAGGAAAAGTGCCTCGAATCCAAAGCTGAGAAAAACGCTAGGCACAAATGTCTTTGGAAGCCACAAACGGTTCCGAGTCCCACGATCTCTTCCCAATGTTTCCGCAGGGGCATAGAGTATACAGTATACAGGTTGTCACAGGTCGGCTGGAATTCTTTCGGTGTCGCCCCAAGACAACAAATTTCATGGAAAAACGGTATATCAGATATGTCTGTCACTTCATCTGTTTATCATGGTGTATCATGGTGTATCATGGTGTATCATGGTGTATCATGGTGTATCCATCTGACCATCTCGCTCCTACAAGTATGTGGGATTTCCTGGGCCTGGGAGCCCGGGCCACATTCAAGCGAATGGCGCTCAGCACTGTGTCGAATGGGAGATACGACCACCTGTCAAGATCAAGGGCCCAAAGACTACACAGTGACTACACAGTGACTGCACAGTGACTGCACAGTTCACACATGCAGCTTGTCAAATCTTGTCAATGCCTTTCATGGTGAGTCTACGAGTCTACAAAGTTAAGTATGCATAAGTATGCATCCCAGCCATCCCAGCCATCCCAGCCATCCCAGCCCAGGCCACCTGCCGAGGTTCTGGTATGCAAAAGCACCACTGATACCTGGCAAGAACGAGCTGATGTCGACTTACATATGGCAAATGCCTTGAAATGTCAGCAAAAAAACATAGGCCCCAACATGCCCCAACCAAATCACCATGACACTAAGTCAATGACAAAAACACTGTCGTGCTTATGTCCTGATATATCCTGATGTCCTGCCTCCCAAAGGGTTCAAAGCATCGAGGAAGCAATCCCACGCAGAGTCGTAGCCCGTGAATGTCGCCTGAGGCACGAGGCGAACCTATCAAAATGACTTGAAAATCCTTAGTACAAAGCATTTTCCGAGGGCAAAACTGAAATTGGCATATTGAATGATTTGAATGGTTTGAAAAAAAAGAATCGGATGCGGCCAGACCCGACATTGCTGACCTCGTAGCTAAAGGCTAGAAAGAGCAGCGCCAGGATCCTGAGAAATTGGATGTGAAGCAGAGGATGTTGGCCGATGTTGGCAACGGGATGCTATCGGAAATTCACTTGGTCCATCAAAGATATCAAAGTGGAGTGTGGCTGCGGCGTACATTTTGCGAGAGTTCAAGCATGAGTCTAGGATGAAAGCTGGTGCGCCAGAGCTGTGAACCATCCAATAGTCTACTGTAAAGTCTCTGTGCAGTCCAAAATCGTCAGCACAGTCCAAAGCACAAACAAGTAGGAGGATGTAGGAGGCAATACCAGCTGTGAAGAGAAACAGCAGCACCTTTGCTGCACCTCACTTCACCCTGGACTGCCCTTCTTGAAGTTCCCAATGGACACCTCAAGCTCCCAATTTCAGCCCATAAAACCGGCCAAGGGGCAAGCCCCATGCAGGTATTTGCAGAAAATGGGTTGATGGTCCTCTCAAGGCAGATTAACATACCATGGCCATCAGTTTGGATTGGTCAAGTGGTCAAGGCAACTTCGAACATGGCGAACAGCATGAAACAACTAGCTTCAATCCATCCCTCCTGCTGCAACGACCATCAAATCATTTCTCAGAATCTTGGTGTTGTCGATGAGGTCCCCATCTGCAAAAAGATCGAATGCCCGGGGGCACGCAAGTCACCAGGGAAAAGGCTCAAGAGATTTTGTAGGACCATTTTTACTTTCAAACAACTGAGACATCAATTAAAAGGACGAAGAAAAAACGTGGTCTGGTAAGACAATGTGCAATTCCAGCTTAGCTTGCCGGACATTGCTCAGTCGAGTTACTTGGGCCGCGCGGGCGAGTGTGGAAGCAGATTCCACCAAAGACCCACAAAAGGATGTGACCTTAGAGCGGTGGCGGACGCTCCGACTACAGTGGCAGCAATTCTGGCAATTCTATTCAATTCTGCAATTGCTCAAAAACCTGCTGTCTTTTGTAGGCAGCAAAAAACGATACTCCTCTAGCCCGTTTCGGTAAAACGGTGAAGGCTTTCAACATCCGAACGGAGTTTGATGAAGCGTTCTCTTGAAAGCTCCAAGGCAGCATGGGGCACATTGTGGATTGTCTCCGAGCAAACGAAAGGCTTGAAGCAACACTACAAGCTTCTGATACATGTTTGGAGGATTTTGGAGGTATGTTTATTCATGTGTATACCTTTTTACCTTTACTGCTGCTGCAAGAGTCTTGCTTGGTGCATGCTATCTGCAATGACAGGCACTGTACTACTGATCATAGAAATCCGGCTGTACACGATCAGTCACAAAATCCAGCCTGTTCAATGCCAAAAGCTCCTCGCTCAGTGGTTCCACCACTGTCATAGCGTCGGCAACCGCCAATGCATGCTCAACAATGGCCTGTGCCAAATATGCATTTAACATTGGGGGATATACCTTCGCAATAGCTGTACAAAAGTTGCCCTGTGCATCTCGGCCTTGAAGTTTGGGGTGGAAATTGGCCGCATGTCCGCAACGGCCGGAACGTCCAAGAGCTCGAACAGCACGCGCAAAGCCACCCAGGCGGAGCAAGGCCATGGAGGTGGGTTTGCGAGCTTCACAGCCCAGGCAACACTGGTCGAAGGTGAAGATCTCAATGCACCGTAGGCGACGGAGCAGGCGCATGGGCTGAATAGCCCAAATGCTGCACGGCCTTTTGGCATAGGCCCAAATCGGAAAGGCCGGATGTTCGGCAAATCCACATCCTCCCATCTTGGCACAAAGGTACAACATGTGCGCCACGAAGAGGACCAGTTTGGTGCCAGTTTCGACCTGCCGCCACTCACGATCGGAAAGAGAAGGTCTGCCATAAGGATCATCATAGGTCCTCAATGGCCGAGGACCATCTGGCTGCAGACGGGCAGCGCTCCACGTTTCACAAGGTGGGCCACCGCCCATTCCAAAGACAGCGCCGGAAAGCACTTGGCGTTCCCACCACTGAACGCGATGTGCACCAGCTAAATCTCCTTGGGCATCTTGCAAACAGTAGTCGACACTGATCGTGAAGGTCTGCAGCGCACCTTGAATCCAATGCGCCTCAATCTGCCATTGGAGATCTTGCGGCCTTCTGTATCCTGAGAACACGTGGATGAAGCACAATGTGCGTATATGCAACGTTGCATGAAGACGTGCAAGTCCTCCCAGACTGAAGCATCCACAATGACCTTCGTCTTCTCCTGCAGGTGATTGATAGAGAAAGGCCATCTGCTCAGTCTCAGGCTCCTGAGGTTGAGGATCAGGAGCATTAAAACTGCAAATCCCTGCAAGCGCTGCTGCCGCAGAAGTGTCGCCAGGTCCCATACGGATTTGCCACTTGTTGAGCATCACAACAGCAGCCGGATGGTCAGCGTCAGGAAGCGGAGGGCCAAACGCACGTGTCACTGGCTGCATAGCTTTCGTCGGCAACCAGCCCTGCTTCTTGAGATCTTTAGCGTCCGCACGATCCTTCATGTCCAGCTGCGCCATTGTGTCTGCACTCAAAGGTGGAAAGCAACCACGTAGGCGCTGCAGGCAATGCGGGGCTGCTCGAAGGTGCGCACAGAGTCGGGCTCGTCCGTGAAAATCACGACAGCAACTACCACAAAGCCCATCGGTGGCATAGTGCTTAACCAGCGTCTTATACCCATGAACTTTACTGGCATGCATAGCCAAAGCCCGTTTGGAAGGGAAAACGCCGTCGCAAAGCTCACAAAGCCACTCGTCTGTCTGGGGAGCTTGCTGAAGAGGAATGCGCACACCATCGGAGGCCAACTTATGAGCAAAATTATGTTGCCAAACATCCACATAGGCATACTGCTCCCGGTACCTTCGACATGAAGCAACAGCTCGCTTCAAGCGTCCCTTCCAGCAGTGATCAATGGAGACAAAGACAATCCAATCTTGCAACGAAGAGCTTGAGGTAAGACTGCATCGATCGCCATAGAATCTGGTGAACCACCCAAAGGACTCAAACAAGGCTGCAAGCCATGATCCCTCTTCTGCCCCAATGGTTGCAAGCAAATTCCACAAGACTGGAGGTGTGCCATCAATCAAACGTCGAAAATAACGAAGCCTAGCCAAATGGAGCGCATCCCAAGGGGTGATCATCCCTGCCAAGCCACACAACGTTTCCAGAGCAAATGCAAACGGAGGGTGGCCACGAAGCATTGTCCGCACTAAAGGGTATAGCATAGGACGAAGCCCGGCTGCCCACTTGGCCACGTTGTCATCCTTCAGCTTGGTCCAAACATGAGTATTGTACATCAAGCGCGAAAGCACCAAGGATTCAAACAACTGCCTCTTGTTGTGGCTCCGAATCTGCGAGCGCCGAAAGACAGGTCGAACCAGAGGGCCCCAGGCTTTACGAGCCTCAGTCAGGCGAGCTCTAGCATCCCGTGTGTGAACTGCATTGTTTTGGATCCAGGTGCCCAAATGCTTGTAACCAAATGTGCAGCGCAACTGAACCGTGGTCTCGTGCACTTGGAAGCACAACGCATTCCCTGAGTCTGCAACCTTTTCACGAAAATGCCTGGATCCAACTCCTCTCCAGTGTACCAACAGCTCTGTCTTGCCTGCCTCAAAGTTCAATGAAAGACCCCGTGCTTCTGCCTCTTCAAAGACTGCCTTCAATGCCACACCAGTGAGGTCGTGCAACTGAGGATTCGAAGTTGCACGCATGGCAATGGCACAATCGTCAACGAATGCAACCTCAAACCAAGCAAATGGCGCCGGGGCATCAAACGAATCAAAAGAGGAGACCCTAGCGGCATGGCCTTCCCAACAGGCAGTTGTGTCCCCAGCAATCTTGGTAGTAACCTTATCAAGTATCACTGCCATCGCCAGATTGAAAAAGGCGTCGCCAACCGGGTCACCAGGACGAGTGCCCTGAGTTGTCAATGCAATGGGTTCAACTCCATCCACCTGGAAAAACGTTCTCTCCATGAGGTCTTGGAGCAGTGCCAACGCATGAGGCGAAATGCCTTTGACTGCCGCATCAAGTTTGGCTGTGTCCAGCAATCTTTGAACATGGTCTGGAGCCACACCAATTTGGAACATGGCATACAAAAATGGGGCAGCATCAGGTCCATGTTCAAATAGCCCTTGTCGCACGACAGAATAAAAAGCTGCTTTCATATCGATAAACAAGATACCAACTGGAGAAGCTGTCTTGGCTGCATGGCTAAGATGCGCTTGCAAGCAATGATGGGCAAGATCGGCCGCCATTCCCTTCCTGCCGCCAAATTGCAAATGAGAAAGAACACCTGACCACGCATCCAAAAGATGCCGTCGAAGACTGCCATGATAAATTTTCGTAGTAAAGTTGGAGATAAAGATCGAGCGATATCCATCAGGATTGGAACGACAAAGTTTTCCCTTATGTAAAGGGATAAGCTTTCCGCCACGCCAATCAAGTGGCTCAGATCCTCTCAGGGCAATCTTGGTGGTGACGGTAGCCAACTGGCGAGCCAAGGTAGCTCCGCCGGCCTTGAGCAAGTCAGTGGGGAGCCCGTTGGGGCCGGGTGCACGTCCCCTTTTGAGCTTCTTGATTTGCGATTGGAGGTCATACAGGGTCGGAATGACCGCCTTGTCCAAGATATTAACGTCCAAACCAAGGCCAACATGGTGCAGGTGATACAAGCTATCACGCGACATGATGTGGCCAGCCTCGACCTTTGCGAATTGCCGCAGCCAGTGCATCTGCTGTTCGGCATAGGTTTTGAGCGGTTCTTGGCCGGGTGGACGCAAAATCGGCAAAGCTTTGCCTCCGGCAAACTTGTGACCAGGTCGACCTCCAAGGCGGACAAGGAGGTTGTAAACAAACTTGTAGTTGTGCAACTCTCCTTGCTCAGCCAATTGTTGAATAAGCTCATCATAATAAGCTTGCTGATCAGTTTGAACTCTGGCATGGACCTCCTTCTCAATGGATTTCAGGTGGGCTCGCAGTTCAGGTTGCTGAAGTAGGTCATGACGCCTGCCATAATCGAGGATTGATCTCTTGAAGGCAATGAGGTTGCGCGTGCTTTCCGAAAGTCGAGGTCTATGGCGGGCACCAGCACGGCTGCCAAAGAATTGTTGAGCTAGTTGCCAAACATTGCGTTCCCATACAGCCACATGAGTGTCAACATCTGTGTGCCATGTAGGAAGTGGCAGTGTTCGCAAAGCCTCTTGAAAGTCTTTGCACCGGGCAGGATCGGCCATAGCCTCAAAATCCCAACGTGGGAATTGAAAATCCACAGCACTTCGCAACCACCCTGCACAATGCAGTCGAACTGGAAAATGATCATCATGTGCAAATCCAGAGTCGTGGTCACATAGAACGGCAGAAGTTGTCGCCATGTCGAATGCCAAGCGCGAGCACAAAACAAAATCAAGTCGATGTTCTGTGCCTCTCGGATGCTTCCAGGTAACTGAAGATCCGGAATGACACCATGCAAAGGTGGTAGGAGCAAACCAATCCAGCTGTTGTAGCGCATCTTCAACAATCATGGCTTGGGCAGTATCCGAACCATGACCACGCATGGCAAAGTGGTCAGACCCCGTGGTGCCAATATCAGCATTGAGATCGGCCATAATCCAAGTCAATGGCGCCAGTTTGGCCTGCCGGACAATGTCAATGGTCTGCCTCCACCATTCTTGAATCGCATCAATGGAGCCCTCAGGTGATGCAGACCGACACGGAGCATGAAGCACAACGAAGGAAGCCAGAATGTTATTCTTCTGCAGATTCACAATGAGCCTCCGCGGATCAGCATGCGCAACGGCCGGTGTCATCTGGCCAAACGCAAGAACTTCATCACTTTCGGTAGTGATCCAGGGCATAGTTCGATGAAGCCACAATTCACATCCATGATGTGGGCACACCACAGTGGAGAGAGCACCGGAAGAAAATGTGATGTAATGATCCAAAGCGCTTCTGCCCGGTGGACGTCGGGTCTCTTGAAGTCCAACGGCTGCAATTCTTTGCTGATGCCACTGCTCATCTAGTCTTACCGACCGAGAACTGCGCAAAACCTGTTGGTGTTCGTCTACAGTGTCAAGGGCCAGGACATTGGCAGTCACAATGTTGCAGGAAACAGCAGCAATGCGTTGGAGGGTTTCATCATGGGAGTTTGCCCGTGGCTTGGTGCTTGGGGGAGTCACATGCCACAACCCGAGTTCAGGAGAAGGGGGCAGGCACGCCTGAAATGACTGTGGCTGTTGCGAAATCCATGCCCAAGAAGCATCCTCAAACTGTAGCATCTCATGCAGAATAGGAACGTGCATGTGACCAACTGGAAAACGCGTCGAAATGACATGCTTGGCAAGTCGATCTGCAAGCTCATTCCACGGATGAGCTCGATGAGCTCTAATCTCCTGTGCTTCTCCTCCATGCGTATGAAAATGATGTCCAAGGCATAACATCAGCTGGACCAATCGTGGATGTGCGGAGCACATGCATTGATCTGCTGCAAGCTTTGCGCTCAGTTGAAGATCAGGAGCAATAATGACCTTGGAGTCAAATTCAAGGGTTGTTCCAATGACTGCAGCATAAAGGAAAGCAGAAAACTCCGCAGAGATATTGTCAGCATTCTCCGCACCAATCCATGCCGGTTCGGCTGGGCAGATTTCAACCTGCGCCGCAATCATGCCACGAAGTGCGGGCATGCCATCTTCACCATACCTGACATGAACAACACTCCATGTGGCATGACCATCATGAGCAGCACCATCAATAAAGAGCACCTCAGAACCAGCAAAGTTTGTCTCGCAGTAACACTGAGGTACACAAAGGGCGTCATACGTGGCCGGATGTAACTGAAGACCTTCAGGAAGTGGTGTCATCACAATCTGGGACTGCTGCAGTTGCTGCTGCCAATTCGATGTAGAGCTGTGCATAAACAGTTGATCAGCTCGAACGGGAGGCGCAGCCATGGGTAGAGTGGTTTCCAGAGAGATGCAAACCTTGGACTGGGCCAAAGCCTCACGTGGTTGTGTTTCCGCTGCCGTCCCAGATGTGTCAGTCTTTGGAAACTCAATGAGCTGAACAGCATCTGACATTGCTGCTGACGTACGAGCATGCATTGTCAGAAGATGCTGCGTAGTGGAATGCTGGCTGTCGGCTTCTTGAAGCAAATCCTCAATCACGGGTGCAAATTGTTCAATGGTTGTCAAGTCAGCAAGGATACGTAGTGTTTTGGTCATGTGAAGTTGCAGAAGAGCAGCATCATCATCCTGTTGTTCACATGCGAACTCCATCATACGATTCCATTGCTGAGTGACTGTGTCAATGAAAATGGAAAAGAGAAAGCCATCTGAAACTTCAACAGTGCGGCCATGAGAGATATCAATGCCATGAAGGAAAGATGAGCATCTCGCAAGTCTCTGCTGTGGCGGACACTGCCAAAGAACTTGAGCTGATTCCAAAAGTTGCCAATGGTCAATGGTACAAGACATACTCAACGCAATCATGCGGGGCTGCTGTTCACCATCAATTCCATCATGGACGGAGATCAAAGCAGTTCTGTGCATGGGTTGAGGTTGTTGCGAAATGAGCACATGGAAATGCGCTTGCGGCCAACCACCTTGTGTCGTCTCGACGCACACGAAGTACTCAACATCGACATGGGGCAAAATCCAGTCATGCCAAAGCGCAAGACATTGGGTACTCCATACTCCAAAGTCAGGCCCCAAGGCCAACTGGCGGCCAACATTGGACCAAGGCCGCCGAAGATGGTCGACATACCAAGTCTTAACAAGGACTTGGCGAGCAGCTGCAAAATTGCCATGTTGAAAAGTCAAGCGCCATAAGTCATCAAGCGTTTGAACATTGGCAAACATTGCATCACTGAACTCCGGACGAAAGTGCGCCTGTGTGGACAGGTGCATCGCTTCCGGGCGAGGCGCCAAAGCAAAAGTATCATCATAGCGCGCATCCTCTTCTTGCAGTCCAGCCAATCTATGAGCAACAAACCCAACTTGCATGAGAGATGCTCCGGATGTGTCACGCACAATGCGCGGGACATGTGGCTGTGTGGAACTGCTAGCCATAATGTCTCGTTCGCATTCACGAACTGGACGACTGAAGATCTCGATGCTTTTGCCAGCTGCAATTTCTTCTCGGATGAAACGCTGGAAATGCATTCGACCACATACAGCATGACATCTACGTGTTTCACAGAGGAAGTTGAGCTGCGTGGTGTCAATAAGATCTTCCGTAGAGACCCAACGTGGCAGAGAAAATGCTGTTTGCCAGAGCTTGGTTTCCATAAGCTCCTGCACATGCACTGAAACAACATTTGCTGCTCTGGCCTCAATGGGATTTTGTTCCAAGAGAATATGCAATGTAAAGGCCCGCAAGGTCGATTGAGGTGGATAAGGCTGCACCAAATGTGGTCTCAGTGGTTCAGATGGACGAATGTGTGTCTGCCACAGTCGCATGACATCATCGTACCAGTGAGAAGGTTCATTCAAAAGTTTGATCATCAATGGTGCACGGCATGTTTGGAAATGCAAATTGTCAATAAACCAAACTGCCGCATAAAGGGCCTTGCCTTCATCCTCATTTTCAACATGAGCGTGGGCTTCAAATGCATCCTGCATATCTTGCAACCAAAAACGACGCAAGAATTCCTGGTCCGACTCCAATGCCGTAGGAGCAGCCGCAGGTGCTGGTGCTGGCGATGGTGCCAACATAGGGCTGGGCGCTGGAGTAGGTGCTTGCATCAACCTCTGAATGTAGGCCTCAACATCACGAATTGCATGGAGAGTATTTGGATTGCCGTCCAGTGCTGGAGGGACTATCACACGCAAATAAGACCCATGTTGGACTTGTCGAGGTCCTGGTCGGAGAATCGGCCACCCACAATTGTCGATGTAGACGAGACATCGTTCATGTTGCAGCACACAATACTGATATACGCCGGCATAACGTAGCACAGTGGGGCGCGTCAGAAAAGGAGGAACACGAAGGACTCTGCGTGTTGTGGCCGGCAATGTAGGTACAGTCCCAACGACAGCTGGGAAATGTACTTCCACGTCCAAGATGATCAAGCAGTCCGTTGAGGCCGCTGGGATGTCATCAATGTGTTGAACAATGAAGCTCCAATCATCTTGATGCTGCCCAACCATGCGTGCAGGAATGACGTGTGAGGTGATAAATGATTCTCTTTGCACCCGCAGAATGCGTGCCAACTCTCCAAGTAGAGGAACACCCGAAACATGATGAAGGAATAGATGCATCGGAGGATGGTAGAGCCGATATACATGGCAATTGAAGAGTACCATGTCATCCTCTGGGTCTCCCTCAGGACCAGGCGCTGGCGTGCCAGGCTCATAATCATCATCATCTTGAGAACTGCCAGAATAGGAATCCATGGTTTGATCGTGTCCATCATCTGGCTCAGGTTGCTCGTTGGGTGGAACTTCCGCAAAAGTTGCGGCAGCAGCTTCTCCATCGGAAGTGGCTTGAACCGTCCGATACATGTCAAGCTCAGGGTCAGCCGGGATGAAGACAATGAACGTATGTCCTGACCGCATCAAATGAACTCGATCAGTGTTGACAGGAATTGGGACCCAGCCATGATAGATCGAGCACCGTCTAGAGGCAATGGGCGAGCAGTAGTGATGAATGTCGGCCGCATCAACAATCATATAGCCGCTCACATCCCTAGGCATAGACGCTGCTACAGTGAAACCATTGCTTCCTTCAAGGTCATCAAGAAATGAGACTGTAACCAAACCGGAATGCCTCCAAACATGAAGTCCTTGGGACACAATGATGTCCAAAGCAATCCACCAATCACCAGGTCCACGTGGAGGCTGAGGTGTGCAAATCTGATACGCTGTGGGTGCATCAGGATCAATCACGTCTGCCCAGACCTGACGGATTTGTGCAATCCAGGTAGATTGATCTCCTTCAAGAGAAACATGACGCGCTGTCCACTGATGTCGTGGCTCCTCATGGTTGACAAACCATGTGCGCAATTCAATAGCATGGGCTGGGAACTGCAACGTAGGAATTGCCATCATTCCAAGTGCATGAATGATATTGTCAGTAAAATCTGGAACGCGAGGATTGGGAAAGTCTTGCCCATCCTGAGGTGGAAAACCATGGTCACTACCATCTGTAGAAAGTCCTTCTGGACGTCCATGGTTGTCGATGATCTTCATTTGTGACATGGGCACTTTGTCAAGTGGCGCATGCAACATCATTTGCATGGGCACTGATTGCACCGCAGACCAACTCCTGGGAGACGGTCGCCGGGCCCATGGTTTGTTTCGCCATTGTTTGAGAGCGATGGTCGAAGAACAGAAATGCCTCATCAACAAATCATCAGCATCCCCAAGAAAGACATGAACTTCGTCATGAAATTTCACGCTGAGTTTGGGTCGACGAACACGGCAACGTTGCTCTCGAGCATCAGGGCGGGGTACATCAAAATGACCCAGCGAAAACGCTAGATCCACCGCCGTTTCATGAGCTGCCCATGTCGGTAAGAAATTGTACTCATCGACAATGGACAAATTCCATTGCAGGGTTTGTGGGAAACTGCCCTGCACATCCCAGAAAGGCCTCGGATGTGTGTACCTGTCGGTCACTGCACATCGGCCTAACCAAAAGAAGGCACTGAGTTTTCCCCAGACTGAGCAGGTTCTTCGGGCAAGTCTGGGTCGCTTGTGCTTCTGCTCTTCCTTCTCGAGGGTATCTGCCTGGGATTTGAGTTCTTGTAAGCTGGTTGCAAGATGGTTGAGCCCCTCTGTGATCTTGTCGGGGGCGAGCAACACGACATCCTTGATCTCCGTGTCGTCGTCGGAGACTTCCTGGACCGCATCCTGCAATGAACTTGCCTTGGTCTTCTCGATGCTCAAAGACTCCTTGGCCTGTTCGAAGGACTGCTTGGCAGCCTGAATCCGGGCAACCAAGTTCTCCTCTTGCTGTGCAAAGTCCTTGCCATAGTTCTGGAACCTGGTGATGCTGTCTGCCAGGAATGTCCGCCAAGTTGAGTGCATCTGTGATCGTGCCGCAATGGCACCCTGCAGCTCGTCCCTGGCTTTGCCCATGACAGTCACAGCAGAGTGCAGTGTCTTGACTGATCTCTTGTTCTCTTTGAGCTTCAAATTTTGAATATAGGACTGCACCTCTTGTGGAAGCCCATCCTCGTGCTTGTTCAGGAGAGCATAGCACTCCTTGAGCTGCTGCGCTTCCGCTGTAAGTGCAGGAGCAGACGAATCTGCAGCCGGGGCCACAGATGGAAGATGTTGCCACTGAGGCGCAGTAGGCAATGGGGGCGGAGGTGGCAATGGTTGCTGTCCAGAAGGACCCTGTCCTCGACTTCTGGATTGATCCCGTGCGTCTCCTTGATCTGCTTGTCGCTGATTCTTCTTGCGGCGAGACTTCTTGGGTTGTCTCTGACGAGGGCTGTTGGTACGCTGGCGTGGTGAATTGCCAGATCCAATCCAAGGGCCTTCGTGCCATTGATCTTGTCCATCTCCCCATTGAGTATAGCGAATTTCCTCCTGATCGTACTCTATGGGAGTACCTGCTGTCCAGTGGGCGGTGCAGGACGGGCAATAATTCATCGTTTTTCGATTGCGTCGTCCGCACCCGCATTTCCAAGGGTATGCCTGGTAGGTCGCCATCTCCTGCCGGATCCGCCGAAGAAGATCGGGGTCTCGTGAGTGATGGGAACGAAGGACCTTGTAGATGCCCACCAACTGGAACAATGGCAGAGGTTCTAATCCCCTGCGATGCAGGAACCACAAAAAGCGAGCCCTCTGACGAGCCCGGCGCTGTGCCCTCCTGCGTGTCGGAGTGATTGTAGATGACAAAGGCGAGGATCAACGCCCGCACAAAGACCATGCAAACCAATCACCCAGCTGAAGAGCTCGATCACCACGAGAAAGAGCTCGGAGGCCAGCGTGTTGTAGAGGATGCCTGCACTGGACCACCAGAGCACGTGCCAAGCAGTGAAGCACAGCCGCACAGCAAGGCGAGGCAAATGGTGCCCGCGGGTCGGCAACCCGCTAAGGCGTTGAGACTCAGGTAACGGGGGGCTTCCCTGAGCTGAAATGCCTTCCATGTGTATACCATTTAAATCAATCTAATCCACTTGCACAAGACAAAACAATGGCCTTCTTTGATGTAACTTGCAACTTAGGGAGGGCTATCCTTATAGAGCCCATGGCCCTTGTGGCCCTGAATTGGGCGAGGAGCTGATTTCACCTCCAAGATATCGTGCCATATTGCCATGGCCAAACTCGTGACCTCAAATGAAGAAGCGCTATGTGATTTGGACATATTTGGACACCGTATGCAAAACAAATCAAAACGATACAGCAGACTTGCAAAAACTACAGAATCACAAATTGAAAAGTATATAAAAATATATAAAGTACAAAAATATATAAAAGTATATAAAAGTATATAAAAGTATATAAAATATGTAAAAGTATAGACCTCCTTCTGCCCATCCCTCAGCCGTGCACAAAGGATGGTCAGCAGCAACACGATTTCATTCAGCGTGGCTTGGGCCACCTGGCGAACCAGGTCATCACACGCCACGGCGACCTGACCCGATCCCGCCTGTCCCGCCTGATAGAACAGGATGGAATTGTTTCCACCGTTCTTCGCGATATTCGCCAAGTCATACCTCAGCAACGTGAACAGAAGGCACGGAAGGCACGGAAGGCGCAAGAGCTCATCTGAGTCGGCGACACAAAGAAAATGCAAACCTCAGAGGTTTACATGTTTTCACCATCTCACGGTCAAAAATCACCACGGAGTAAAGATGATGGATGAGTTGAGTGCAAAGCAAAGATGTCAATCTTGAAAGGTTTGAACTGGTTTGAACCAAGATTCGTGTTGGAACGTCCCAAAAGGGCCAGAAGCTTCGCAAAGAATGGGTATTGGCCAGCTTACAGATCTATAGGAGTGCAGAAGCGCTCTGAGGCTGTTGCGAAGTAAGAGAGTCGAATGGGAGCTCTGCAAATGGTGCCCAAAGGAAAGGAGCAATCCTACACATGACCAACCAATGAAATTTGTCACAATACGTTTTGAAACATGATAAACATTGTCCATCTACCTCATCCAAACATATCCAAACTACATCAAACATCTCCAAACATCACCCAAAGTCCCGAGGTTTTTGTCCTGTGAGCTTTGCATTCCCTGATCACCGAAGCCCATGTTCATCGTGCCAGGCTGTAGAGGCGCACGGCACAGGAATCGATGGCTCTGGGACTGGGATCTGTACTGCGTGATTAGTGTGAGATTGTTTTCTGATGTTTGCATGATTGTTATATGATATATATATATGTTTCTTGTATGATTCTGGTATGAGTTATTTGACTTTGTGATTCTATGGTTGTAAATGAGCTTTGTATGGCTGTTTTGTGATGGGTTGTCACGGGGAAAAAGAAACAGATAAGTGATGATAAGTGGCATCTGTGGGTTTCTCAAGTGCTCCATCTTATGTCAATGCGCTCGAGAATACAAGGCATATCAAGGCATGTCTCGATGTTTCGTTCTGATTCCTGACTGAGCGCATCGCATGAAATCCTGTATGATGGCTACATATGGCCACTCAACGACGCACACAAATCGGAAAAAGACAGGCCTATCATAGACGGAAAATGAAGATCGGCTAGTGAGAAGATCAGCTTGATTGAAAGCCGACAGCTTGATGCATGGGATTTATCCAAAGATTCCAAGCAGCCACATTGACATCGTCACTTGCACGAGCTGCATGATATCAGTCTATTCAATCCCATCCTGCACCAGAAGGCCAGAAAATACCTTCAATGCTCAGGACATTCCGCAAGACATCCACAGGTCCCTAACGAATTCGCCGAAAAGGATCTCGTCTTGCCACTGGTTCCAATCCTCGAGACTTGTTTGGTCGGGTGACTCCACCCGGAAAGAAAGCTGCATAACGTACAGAAATTCCATATAGCAACCGTTAGCCCAAACAAAATCGGAGTTTGATGACAAAACATGAAAAAACCACTTGGCTCGATCTCTTGGCATGGCACGTGGGCCAAAAACCACAGGTCCAGCAATGGCGCGATTTGCTCGGCCTGCAGAAACAAAACAGGGTCTGCGAGAAAACTTTGAAGGGCTCCTGATTATCAAACCCCTCCGCACCGTGGCCGCCAAACCAGGGAATTCCGACAAAGGCATCCTGGCTGACAAAGCGCAGCAATTGGATCAGATGCTGATCTGAGAGGTTTCATGGCGAACCCTTGCAGCTCGAGCAATCCCAAGGAAAAAAAAGCGAGCCAGGATTCGTAACGAATAGAGCAAAGTTCAAAGCCCTGCCTATATTGGAAAGTTAAACTGGGCAAAACTCTTATCATCTGCATCGACAGACTAAAGACAAGAATCACTCACCATAGAAATCAACGTAAATTCGGATCATTCCCCAATTTGGCTTTGCCAACACAGCCGGCATTGCTCCATCATCTCTTCATGCACATGCTGCTTTTGGACCTGTCAGCTCGTGAATCCGAATCGGCTGTGGTTCAAAGAAGGCAGTGAAGCTCCTGCAGTGATTCAGTGATTCCCACCATTTCCCACCTGTTCCTGCAATTTCGCAACTCGTTCCTGCAATTTGTACATCTTGTTGTAGTAAAACCTCGGAGCATCGTGTCATGCGGCTCTGAATGCAACCTGGAAATGACAGTCAACTGAAAGGGAAAAAGTGTCTTGATAAAAAGAATGCAAACGAACACGCTCAGAATCACATGGTCAAACAATGTCATGAGGAGCTGTGGTGAACAGCTTTGAACAGTTGTCCCAACATGTATTCCGAGAGCCCCAACTCCGCCTTTGTCAAGGACACCTCACCAGGACAACACACGCACGCTCAAAGTCAATGGGGAACCCAGAGAATGATGAGATGTGTTGAGAATCTTGAAATGATCTCTAAACACAAAATGCAATGTACTTAGAGACTTAGAACATCCTTTAACTTGACACTGAAGAGCACCCCTGTCCCCGACCTTGCAAGCGTATTCCTCGAGCACCAAGCGACATTCTTGAACTTGAGCCTTTGCCAAATGTGAGGCAACACAATTTATCGAAGGGGCTGTTGCTGCAAATAGACGAATACGTGGCGAGTACCCTTAGCATTGGCTTTGGAGGGCTTTGCCTCTTTCAAAAGCATCTCAATAAAAACTGCACAGTGCCTGCCCATGATGCGAAACCTGTGAGGTCTACTCCAATCCACACCAAGGATATCAAGGACATGGACGGCGTAGGTCCATAGGACAGTGACAGGATGTGACAGGAATGTCTGGGGAAGTAGCGGAGAGAATCTTCGCTTTCTCTGCGATTCGGATGTTGAACTTGCCACGTAGGTCCTGCAGGCGTTGAGGGATGTTGGGGCACCTGTGGAACGGGATCTGATCTGGCATCGGTTGGAGAGGTTACCAGCACCCACCATGAAAACTTTCACATCTTTCACTATACTCTAGAATAGTCTAGAACAGTCTAGAATAGTCTAGAATAGTCTAGACTGCTATCTGCTGGACCTTGCGAAAGATGTTCTGCCACTTCTCTGCTCGATCTCGTAGGTCAGGCACGGCATGAATGCACTCATACCTTGGTCAAACGGTATCGGTGAGATGGTCACAACATAGTTCTCTCAACGAGTCGGATACAAACTGAAACCATCAAAACCGTTGAAAATCGTTGAAACCATTGAAGCCATTGAAACCACTGAAAATCATTGATATCTGGATTCTGAACATTTCTGAACAACTTGGTGTCTAAAAGTAAAAGCCAGTGAAAGAGATATCGGAGAATGGGAAGTCTGTGTGAAAAGAACCTTACAAAAAGGCAACATCTATGACATCTATGTCTTATGTATTCTTATGTCTTATGTCTATGTAGTTGGTGTAGTCACTGTTGTCACTGTAGTCACTGGGCCCACGGCCACCGTTTGACCAAAGCTCTGGGCACCTCATTGGGCGATCCCTGCGAATTCTCGAAACGCATTGAAATTTCCAAATTTGTAAAATACGATGTATGTCGATGTATATTTGTATATATATATAACTGATGTATACAATATATAACGTGTATATATATATATATGTATTATATATATATATATTATAGATATAGATATATCAATTAAAAATCGAGTGGCCTCAGCCTCAAAATCCGTCCGCCACGTCCCCGGTGTTTTTCGGACCGCTGACCTGGTGATAGCGACTCTCCAGGACCTCGAACATCTGCCGGATGGAAGCCTCGAGATGAAGCTAAAGGCACCATGGCACCATGCACATCCTGGTCAGCCTGGTCAGGTTACAGATTGAATGAAAATAAATGCACAATTTGGATGAATCTCAAAAACAAATAAAACGATATCACAAGATGAGTATCTACAGATATCTATCAGTATCTTAATGAATGGATCTCACAGCGGTCTTTCAACCCACTCGAAATGCCCAGCGACCAAAACTGGCGCTGTTTCCACCAGGAAGGGATCCAAGCTCTTCACTGCCTGCGCGGCAGTGGATCTGTCAACGGTCACCAGGACATCGAAATGGAAGTACCACACGAGAAAATCACCAAAAGTTAGAACAAATCACCGAAAAAAACACCGAAAAACTGTTTGTGAAAATCACATCGATCTTTGGTCTTTGTCAATCTGTGTCAATCTGTGTCATGTTCTGAAAAACTGTTGGACAAAAATCGTTGACCCCACCAGGATGGTGCTGTGGAGCTCATCTGGCTGCTTGGGCGACATGATGATCTCACCACTCTTCGCCTGGAGCGACACGAGAAACCGATGTCCATCCGATTTTTTTATCCCATGTTTTATCATGTTTTATCTGCCCAGATCATGGTCTTCACTTCTCTTGTGAGTATATCTGATGTGTATCTGATGTATGCTGTATGTGTTTGATGTCATCATCTCGAATCGAACGATGCCTGGAGTGACAGCTTCAGCTTGGCCTTGGAGCCGACTTCCGAAAACTTCCAAGGACCATCACAGCCATCACAGCCACAGGCCAGAAAGTCGTGCATGAGACGTCCCAGGGTCCCATAACCATCTAAACATATCGAAATCATTCTAAATCTAAGTATATCTAAATCATCTAATTCATCTAAACTACCCCAATCTGATATACCAAGACTCAGCCCTATGGTGGAGAATTGGAAGCTGAGCATTCCGAACACAAGCATCCTCCAACCAACGTTGAACTACGCCCATCAGCCTTGCAAACCAAGGATGTTCGGTTGATCCGACAAGCTGCATTAGGCAACTGAATCATACTGAAAACTGAAACCATGAAAACTCATACTTGTGTTACTTGTGTTTGTTGTACAGCGACATCTCATGGTCACAACATGGCATGAAATCCCAACCGAATCCTTCTTTGTGACATGCCGCGTGTATTGTGTGGCGTTGTCACCATCGTGGAGCCCTGAGCGCCTCAAACGGCAACAGGCGCACATGGCCATTAGCGCCTGGCCGGAAGTCGACAATCTCCCTCGAACATCTCGCATCTCGTAACAGTGGCAACAATATGTTACTATTACATACTATTACTACTAGCAGTAAACTATTACTGTCTATTACTGATAAATATTGACAAATATGAATGATAAGAAGAGTGGTAAAAGATGGTGAAAGTACACTCTGTCAACCCCCCTAGAAAATCTCGAAAACCTCCACTGGTAAAACTATGGGTAAAACGATGTAAACAAAGGCGTCACCTTCAAATGCTCGTCCCTCGTCCCACACCCCCACCTTGCGCAAAGGCGTCACATCCACCACCTGGCCATGCCAAAGAGCCACGCTGACCGACGCTGACCGATGCTGACCGTCTCGACTGTCAGATGAGTCGTGGAACATCTTGGATCTCTATATGATATCTCTATATGATATCTGAGATGATATCTCTATGATCTCTTGGATTCGTTTCTTTCTTCGCTTTTGAAGCTGGAATCTGCAATCACTGCGAAGATCTGCAAAGTACTGAGAAGCCACAGGTATCCTGATGGCGCCAAGTAAAGCCAGTGATGCAAAGAGCCCCAGGTGTCTTTCTGGAAGATCCTGTCGAATCAAACAGGCAACGCTGATGCGACAGTGGCATCACAGTGGCATCACAGTGGCATCACAGCGGCTTCATGGTTTAAACTTCTCATGATTTCGATCGTCAGTCCTGTGCTTCATTCAGCTCCTGGTGCCAGCCATCCTGTCACAATATGTCACAATCACAATGCTGGCAATGTCAAGCTTGAAGTCTTGGAGCCTATCGCAGCCCATCAGAGCCTACTGCTTCAGACCTGTTGCTTCCACCGTGCGTCCATCGTGTTCACCCGTCGAATTGTGACACTCCCTGCCTCCGAAAAACACTGTGTCACAATCTGCAGATATTTGTTATGATCTGTGTCATTCTGTGTCACTCAAAGGCATGGATTTACAGAACTCCATACGAGTTCCATACGTGTCCTTTGTATTTCCGAAAAAGGTGGATGGTCTTGCTGTGGAACGGTCCATGCCGGGCATCCAGCTACAACATGTCGGTGAGTCGATTCGATCAAGGTGTTCTCTGAGCTCTTCAATCGACCTCACTGGCATCACTAACAGATCCAACATATACGTTACATACATAATACATACATAATACATACAGATACATACAGTATCTATCAAAACATTATAACACATCCAGCAGATAGCAGTTTCAGATGTTTCCAAGATCAAACAGCTGCCATCAGCTGCCATGGTTTTTCTATATCAATTGATCCCGGCCAATGAATGGTCCATCTCAAAGATCTGTCTATGTTGCACATGTGTTTATGATGGGGATCCCTTCTGGGACTCACAGCCCTGGTTCAGGGGGCAGCTGCCCTCAGCCCAAATCTTTTTGCGAGTGGCACTGGGTCTCGGCAAAGCCTGCTTTCTTGCTCGGCAGCCCAGTTGATTGTCTGCGAAAGAATTGATCTCGCCATTGCCAGGGTCAAATACTTTCAACCAATCATCCAGAATCACTCCCAACACATTCCGTCACATTCCCACTAGCTCACGGCTCAGAGCGTCTTCGATGTTTCATGATATATATTAATATCATTATTAATCTATAATAATCTATATTGATTTATTGGATTTCCCTTGGCTTCGGCCAGATCAAGGCTTTCCGACGCGTCTGACTACTTTACATCATGACTACGGCGCGGCTTGGACAAGTCTCGCCTGCCATCCCTGCGGCAAAAGAATCACATCTCCGACCAAGAATGATTTTGTGCCAGAATTTTCTATTAGTATCCATTAGTATCCATTAGTATCCATTAGTATCCATTAGTGTCCACTAGTATCCATGAGTATCCATCATGTTCATTCATTTTCCTGGAATTTCCCGGAGTTGGTTTCCTGGTTTGAAGCTCAACTTCCAGATGTGACTTTGCCAACTGCGCATCGAAGATGCTCAGTGATGGCCAGCGTACCCCACGCTACCCTAGTCACGTTGTCAGACAGGGCGGCGAAAACCCGCCGCTGGTTGCACTGTTCCAGGCGGGCAAACGGTCACGCTGTGTGGAACCGTTGGTGAAACGGTCGAGAGTCGAGATACAGCTTCCCATGGACCAGGTAGCGATCACCACTAAACAAAGAGGGCAAAGTTGGGATCCTTCAGAATCAGAATATCGATCATGTTCCCATCATTTTCCTCATTTCGCCACCCGGAAGCATGGTGCAGGTGCTGTGCAGGCACCAAGCTGCCACAAGGCGCCAGTGCCACTTGGGCATCACAGAGTTCGGCCAATTCTCCAAACAGGGGATAGAATTCGCTACTTAGGGCTATGACGACGCAAGTTCCGATGTAATTTACGACGTAAAACGATGGAAATTGAAACTTTCCATATCTGAAAAGAAGTGAACTCCATCGGGAAAGTTGAGTAGTCGGATGATGTGCATTATCTTGGATTACGCGCATCATGTAGGATCTTGAAACATCCAATCTTCATTCAAAGTGACAAGTTGAGCTAATTGTTGGACCATGGTGGATTCGTGTACAGCACCACATCCCTCAGTTTAATCCCAAAGTGTGTGATACTTTTGAAGAGGGAAGATGGCAAAGATATGCAAAGATGAAGGAAAGATCCCGGATCTGATTGCTGAGTCTTGAGCTGATTTCCTGATCTGTAAGCCGTTTTTCCAGACGTTCTGCACGAATTGCTTGGCGCTGTTTTCCACGATGCCCAAAAGAATCAGGTGAGTCGGTCTTGTAAGTGGCATTGCTGGGGTTGGCAGTACACTGAAAGTCTCGAAACAAGGAAATGGTCATTCAGCCATTCATCATCATCCTTCCTCGTCCACGTTCATGCAGATACAGGAAGATAAGGTGCGTATATGTGCGTTGAAGTTCAATAAACTGCGGATTTCCATAGATTTCTTGCATCTTGCATAAGGTCAAACAGCAACTGCTATGAGTCATGAGTTGAACTCTATATATATATAATGCATTATATATTATTATATAATATATATATTATATGTATATATTTGTTACGTAGAGTTCTGGGCATCTCTGGGCTGATCCTTTCCCCAGTGCTACCCGCCGACTCCCTCGCGCCTTTGCGCTGTAAATTCCTCCAGTTCCCCGAGCGAGGAGCGAATGCCAGTGCCTCCAAGTGTTCCAGGGCGGCGAAGGAAGCGCCGTGGCCAGGCCCAAACTGGGACTCGGCATGTCAAAATATCTCAGTTTATATATATATATTATATTATATTATATATATATATACAAGGCTCCAAAAACAATATTTTATCTGATCATATCTGATATCTATGTGAGTTATAATTATCTGTAAAAATCTCATCTCCGATAATCATAACTCACACATAGTGACGTAGAGGAAATTGGATTCCATCGGATCCCATCGGTCGACTCCGGACCACCTGTTAGCATTGGATATTCTCCCGGGCTGAAGCTTTGCTGGAGCTTCCACGGTCGCAGGTTGCATGCAGGAGCGCAGGAGTTTCTCTGCATTTCTCGACACTGGGACTCAATCCAACTATATTATCTATATTGATTGTGATTATATTGTAAATATTGTAATTATTGTAATTATTGTAAATATAAATCCCTTGTGTTTGCAAAGGAGCAAAAAGAAAGAGCAACTTACTGCTATCTGAGAACAAAGTTGTTGTTGAAGTTTGTTGTTTGTTCTGATTTCTTCTCCCTCCGGTGCAATGACTTGGCATTTCTCAAGTTGCCCAAAGCCCCGTATCATCCCCTATCCCTATCCCGCTCCAACGCATGACCCCGACTCATGGTGTTCCCGGCATGCGCACAGCACTCACGGCTCCATTGGTCCATGGCGCTGACGTAAACTCCTGAAGAATGCAGGTTACTGCAGGATGCAGCTTGGCTTCACAGATTTTGGACAGACTTGACGTGACAGGCCTCCTACTGGCCTTGGTAGCGCTTCCATCGGTGTTCCATCGGTGTCCCATCTGAGGTCACGTGCTCCTCGAGTGTTCACGACTCTTCAAATGCCAGGACCTCCTCAGGTGCCTGCCAAGTCACGGCCGTGTCACGGCCGTTTCGCGCCAAAATGATCCAAAATGACAATCCAAATGCCCCTCGGACAGCTTCAAGGCCTTGGCAAACTGGTAGTACGTGCCTGGCCCAGGTCGCAACGAATCCATACAGGATCCATATAGATCCAATCAAATAATGGTAGTACTAATAACAATAATAATAATAAATAAATAAAATAATGATAATATATGTGGTAATATAATGGTCTCAGATGTCAAATGTTACACTTCTGCACCTGAAGGCTTTCCCTCTTCGTAGGGCCGGCCATAGTTGCACATGGCCTGTTCACGATCCCATGCAACAGCACGTGTGCTCAATCCACAGCCGTCGTGCTGAAATGCGAGCACGTGCATCGTGCATCGGACCTGGGCATCACTCTTCTGGACCTGGCAGTGTTTGGCGAACTGCACTGTGAAATGCAGCGTTTCTATCAGCAAAGTTACAGATCCACAGGTCCTCTGCAAATCATTGAGAGCAATTAGATTAAATTATATTGGTTCCAAGAATTCTACTTCCATATGTTCATATCTTCCGATGGCATCAGCGCCTCACCTTTATTGCCAAGCCACCCGAAACTTTCACCGTGGTCCCGCCTGCTTCGGGTCCAGTTCGGGAAAAGCACTTCGGCCTTCAAAGACTTGCCCTTCCATCACACGGTAGCGAAAGTCCGCCTGTGAAGCGGCGAAAGATCGAAAGATATCGAAGGATGGCACCAATGGCAGTAATGTTATCGTAGTAAAACAATCTAAAACAATCTAAAACATCTAGCAATGCTCAGCCTATCTCAGCCTTCACATCAAAACAGCCCTACCATCCCCTACCTCACGCCAGGGCGATAGCTTTCGCTGGAGAGCCTTAGCGACAGACTAGACAAGTGAAGACCTTGAACCCTTGAGAACACGTGATGCACCATGACATGTACATGGCATGGGTACTTAAAGAGGTTCTATTTGAGCAGTGCCCGAAAATCCGCTTGATACTGTACTCACACGGTGTACCAGCTGGTTTTATGATGTCGTATGGGGTCACATTGTCCAATGGAATTTGTATCCACCAGATGTCTCCTTTCTTGGTGAGATCTGCATCCCAGATGTTTTGGCCACAAGCTGATCAGGCTCTGGGCTCACTGACATGGATCTTGTGGACCATCGCCTATAGCCGATGGCCAATATCCGCTGAAGCTGGGACACATTTCCACAAGTATCACCACTTTGATCATCAAAGATGCTGCAAGTCGCTAGAAAATGTAGGTGTAAAATGGTGTAAAGAGTTCACAAACATCTTTCTTGGGCCCTTCAGCAAGGTTTTGCTGTTTCAACTGCTGTGAACACTTGCACTTTGAAGTGCTGCCAGCCTTGCTAGGATGCCCATGAATTCCCATCGTCCCACATGTTCCAAGCACCCAGGCATCGTAGACTTGATCGTAGTCGACCTGAAAAACATCAATTGACGAGTTGCACAGCTGGGAACAACTTCTTGGGCGCAACCTTCGTCTGATTTTTTGTACGGACCACTGAAAATTGGAGCTGACCATCTCATCAAATCTTCTGTTAAAAACATCCCAGCAAACCCGTTCCGGAACGTTACTGTAGAACCAGATGAAAGCTATCAGGGCTCCCTACCCCTGCCGCTTTCACTTTGCTTATGAGGCTCTCGATGTCGCAGCTACCTGTGGCGCACGCTGTGTGAAGTTATCCAATGTCTGCAGTATCTGGTGGTTCTGAATTCTGAACACTTGAGAAACTTGAGAATTTTCAAAACCAACTCATCTGTACAGCGGATACTGTATCATGCAAGTACCATATCAAAATCATCATTGGATCATATCAATGATATCAATATCATATCAATATCAGTATCATCAATATCAAATTGAATGGATCACGTCGGAGTTTGAGTCACCCGGCCGGCATTTTCTATGCGCACTGCATCTCCAAGCGCCAGAGCCTGGAGATTCGTTGCGGCTTGTGCCGCCATCTTGTGCCATCTTGTGCGTGTGCCCTGCCTGCTTCATGTATTCCAACGGGAAGAAGCCTCGGCGACAAGACTTAATAAGACTTAAACAAAGTCATTCACGGGAAAATATGGAAAATCCAGAAATGATTTGTGCAATGTGCAGAAAGATGCAGAAAGCACATCTTCTCAATTGTTCTTGTCGCACACTTCCGGACCGCCACATACGGCAACAAACGCGGCTCCTGGCCGCCACTAAACAACACAACACAGGCACGCTCCCATCTTATATATTCGTATTGCGCTCGTTCTCCAAGTAACGGCCGCGAGTAAAGTGCTCTCCACCTCAGAAGTGTTCTGCTGGCGTAAGGATCTTTGAAGCGACAAATGAATTAAATTTGAGATCCGTTCTCTTCTCCTTCTTCTTCTTCCTCTGGATCTGTTCCAAGGTCCGAGCTTTGAAAAAGGCTGTAGTGGAAGGGAAAGGGAGGGAGATGGATAAACTGGAGGTGCAACCTCAGAGGCACAGGGCGACGGCCCAATTCCGGCGTGTGCCGTCATAAATCACCCTGTCAAAGCAAACACCAACCAATCATCCTGTCATACTCAGCGTCAATGAAGAGAGTTGTTGACTCATGGAACTTTACTGAAGATGTTGGATGTGTGGTACAGTCGGGTGCTCAGCACCCAAACTGAACTTGGACATCCTCTGGGAATACGAAGGAAAAGGAATATGGACTACTGGACTTGAGGAGCAAAGAGTTGCGAAATTTGAGAACCAGGACATAGTAGAGCACCCTCTGACTTTGACCTATCTGACCTATCAGTTGTTTCGTTCTTTCCCACCAATGATACCACGTTGTCCAAGCTGGGATCCCGGCTGGAACATCGAAGGGGGGAAGTTGAACCCTGTCACTGCCCAGGCCTGGCAGCAACGGCAACGGCAACGACATCGAAATGCCGTGGAAACAGCCTTGGCGACAGCCGTGACGACAGCCGGCATTCAGCCGTGCCCCATGGCCTCCAAAGCTTGTGCTTGCGAGGGCCTGGCGAACCCATTGTGAATGTCTCGGTGTGGATCTTTGCATTTCGCATCATTTCGCATATCTTTGCCAACCCATTGCCAACCTTTTCAACTTGTAACTTGTCTCTTCATATCTGAATGGAGTCACTAGGGTCATCCAAACCATGCCATTGTTCACTTGTTTTTCTGTTCACAACATTTCACAACATGTTAAAGAGAAACAAAAACACCACACAACATGACAAAACCATCAAAACGATCTGGGATGAAGCACCGAAGCAGCGGTCCACGTCAGCGCACCTCTGTTGTCCGGCCCAAATCTTCTCCCTGAAGGCCAGGCCAAAAATCTCAAACTGCCAGCTCTTCTGGATCCCTTGTGATCCCTTGTGGAATTTGCTTCCGCAAATCAAAAGCCGGGCCTCATGGTCCCAGTACCTTGAGAGGGCTTGGCACTGGCGACTTGGAAGTTCATGAAAATGAAGAAAAATCGGAAGTTGATGGAAAATGAATGTGGTGATTTGCTGCAGTTGCACCCATTCCATCCCATTCCATCGCATGCAGGGACCTTTCCGCTGCCGAGGCTCTGTTCTAGGGCGGCCTGTGAGCCAATCTCGTACAACCTCTTCACCAAGACCAAGCCTTCAAATCTGCAGGTCTTCGGTTGATGGAAAATCATGTGTTCAGTTGGTCCGAGAAAATCTGCACCTGGATTTCTGTTCAAATGATGCATCAGAATGCCAAAGCCCCTCACAACGAAAACATCAACACGTTTGGCACATCACAATCTACTGCCCGGCTGCCCGCCTTTTTCAGGATTTGTAAAAAGATACCTCCCATTGCACGGGTGCTGCAGAGCTGCAGTTGGCTGAAAATCCACAGGATGCTACGTTGGAGTATGTTCCCTTCATCTTTCACTCATATGCATGTCATATGTATCGGCAAAATCAGGAAGCCCCCTCACGGTGGAAGAGTTTCACACCTTTGTGGAACACAACAATTTTTGGAGCCTCAAGTCCTTGCAGTACAGAGAGGTAGGAATTGCCTCATGGCGGAATTGGATGGACTTGGGAGGTCATGGCACCTCCAATTTTTGATCTGCATCCATCACAGTGATAAAAATTGGACCCATTGATATCATTGAAATAAATTGAAATCATCCCTCATGGGCCATGATGGATTTGGAGGGTGCCTTGGGAGGCCTACCCAAATACCAAGGGTCACACGGGCACCACAGATTGCGGTCGTAACGAGGCTCCAACGTTCAAATGGCACGGAGAGCATTGCAACGGATCATCGAAGCAAAGGAATTCGGGTGTTTGGACCTTGGTGGGGCCTCCCATGAGTTCCGCATGTCCCTGTAGATGTCAAGTATCGACAGTATACTACGGACTATGGACATCTATGGATCCAGCCTGTATAGGAGAATCATGGATAATGAATTCTGATGAATTCTGCATGTGAACAGCTGAACTATGATGAACTCCAGTTCTCCAAAGCTTTCCAATCACTTCCAGTTTTCCCATCTATCACCAGCAGGTTTCCAGACTCTCATGGAGATCTTGTACCTGAACTTCCCCTGGGACACAAGAAATCGCCAAATCCATAGCAGATCATAGCAGAATTGGCAAAGTGCTGGGTGAAAGTCGTGGAAAACTTTGCGCCCGCCTCGGCAATCCCATAGATGAAACCCATAAATATGTTGTCGCTGTGCGATTGCTGCACGTCCTGTGCATTCGAGACTCCACACGACAACCATCAAGTCACTTCGAGTCACTTCAAGTCACTTCGAGTCACTTCAGGTCGACAGATGTCGACAGATTGCGACAGATCCACTGCACAGAACGAGACGGCACGGAGCCAAGTAGCATCGAGATAGCATCACATTGGATGTCAATGGCAAATTAGTGGCAAGTGTTTCACCATGTTTCACCATGTTTCACCATGTTTCACCATGTTTCACCATGTTTCACCACTTGACTCTAAGATCGATATGACACGGTTTCAGACTGAAGCCCCGGTCCTGCAGACTAGCACCACACGCATTGCAACCTCAGCCACGGCTGAGCCACGTAGTCAAACCTTTTGTTGAGTTGGCTGTCATGACTCATGACTCGAAAGTGTCAAAGGTCGCACATCATCCATACAAAGGGAATGACCTGAAATTCAGGTTCTGTCTTCGTGTCTTGTCTTGAAAGCATTGAGGCAGTGGTGGCAAAATCACAGGTGAATCCCTTTGGATTGCAGATCATCAACAAAATCTTCAGCGAATTCCACAGCACTTGCAACCTGCACTGCACACACGAAAGCACCTCCTCTTAATGTCACTGTCAATGTAATGGCTATTAGTAGCATAGCTGAAACTCTCGGGGGCTCTAAAGATAAATCGTTCAAGGGGATATAAAATCAGAAAAAAAGAATTACTAGCCAGTTCAATCGGAAACAGCAATTCCTCCCACGAACTCTGCAATTGCGGTCTCAAGGGACATGCCAAGGTGAATGCGCCTCGGTTTCACAGTCACACATGTCATGGAAGATCGGACCAAGGTGGCCCAAGCCTGCACTGATTAGTGTACATGACCCTAGAGAGAAAAAAGCAAACGATTCCGGCAGATATATTCTGATGGTTCCCTCGGCATATGGATTGTTGGGGAAAAAAAAGTAGAAAACTCTGTAGCAGGCTTTGCAAAAGTCCCCACATTCCGTACCCTTTCGTCTTTCATCCAAAGCACAGGCTTTGCCACATTTTGCGCAAACCTTCACGGTGTTCTGAAGTCGCTCCTGGCAGCTCAAGTGGGGCCCCTAGGGGGAAGAACATACATCCTATAATAGTGGCAAACCGAACAGCTTATGAAAATTTATGAAACAGCAAGACTCAAGACCGATAGCAGCAAGCAAGCATCGCCCCAGTCCAACGTGGAAGCGTTGTCTTTGTGTTTCTCCCTGAAGTCCTGCACTTGCCAAGTAAAACATTGGAAATCGGGTCTCAAGCAGCATCACAGGCTCTTGACGACTTGACGCTTTGACTCTGCGCAGAGGCCTCAATACTCCCGGAGAAGTGCGGCTCTGCCGGCACTTGCAAGTGATGTACATGCGGCATGCCTTGGATGCACAGTGTCACAAGGATGATACGGCGTTGTTATGGGTTAAGATCTGGAGTGAAGATGAAGAACATCTGGTAGGCCGTTTGTGGGCTCTTAGTTTGAACAATAATCTGGAAGCATCAAGAGGAAATGTCTGAGTTACAAGTGACGCGTTGTTGCAAAAGCATTGCACCTCTTTTCCCATCATGAAAACCAGAGTAGGATCACTTCGCGTTCGCGCAAAAGACTTCCAGCCATGGCACTACCGCAGAAACCGGCCAAGTACGAGGTGTCTACTCCTGGAACGTATGGGTTGCAAGTTGCGAGTAACTTCTACTCATGTCTAAAATATATTCCAACATCATCCCTTTTTTCATATCAGAGTATGCCAACACCTTCAGCACACCCAAGCCTACGGAGTCTGTCGTCAACCACTTCAGGAAGTATTCGATATCAATACACCTCAGTGCAGGCAGCGGAGGTTCATTTATTGTTGAAACCGGTAAGGATATGTAAGGAGCAACAACATCTGATCAAATATTTTTTCCTTAGAATAGCGTACAGACCTCGCTGTACAAGTGCTTCACCATTTCATTCTCATCCATTACCTACTTGGTAACTACTTTCTTAATGTGGAAACCCTCCAGACCCAAAATCCCAAGTTTCCAACTTTTCACCTGGCGCAATGATTGATCCAGGTCACACAGTGTAGCACACTGTGTAGTACAGAGTCTATCTCACGTTCATCTTGTGTCTTTCCAGAAGGGAAACACCCACCTTTCAAAAAATCAGTTCATTTCAATTCACTTCGCGGCATTGTTGATCATTTAACAAGCAAAATGGTTCTGAATCATCTGAACTTAAAACATCCTAAGATTTACAACTTATTGGACTTATTGGGCGCAGACTCAAGTGGTAAATTCACCTTGTGCAGCATCTTCGAGCATCGTATTGATGGCATCTACGCTGATCTTCTCCTGAACGCATATTGGCTTAGCAGGGTTTTCCATGGCTTAGCTGGGTCGGAGATAGCGGACGTGGCCAAAAACAAACTGCTGACTATAAAAGCGCACAAATTAAAAAAAAATGCAAAGAATGGTCATTCGGAATCAAAAACAATCAAAGAGAGAGGCAGAAGGCTTCAATAGTTGCTGACTGTCTTGCCGCATATTTGAACCCACTTGCACCGAGAAAACACGCGGAGAACCCACCCACCTGGGCAATTTTCATCAATGCCTGGCAAGAAGGCTAAGGGTGGCAAACCCAATCAATTTGCTGCTTTGATCCAGGGTGCTCTTGTGTATACGTTTCTTGGGCGGGCGGCTGTTGAAAGTCCTCCAAGCGCCCGGCAACAAGTGTCAGAAATGAGATTTTGATGTCTTGGTGGTGTCCAATGGTTCGACGCTTACTTTCCCTGTTTGTGGTACGGCCATGTCTCCCATGCCGCGTCTGCCCTAATCAGCAACAAAGACACACTTGAGCCCCAAGGGGTGGTGAGCAAAATCGAAGCAACTTGTGTGGGGGAGGTCATGGGTTGCACGCGGCGGTGATCCGATGGTGTGTTTCCAGCCACGCCGCTGCATGGGCTGCATGGGTGATAAACCTCGTTCTCCCCAAGCCATCCCACCCTGAAAGCTGCATGCCTCACGCAAGTGCGACAGCTCAGCGATGCCAGTGGGACAAGCATCCTGCGCGCATGGAGGTTCAAGCCATTCCATCCATTCAATTATGTAACACAAGGGCCAGAAAATGATGATGGCGGTTTGGGGCGCGCACCGTCGTTCCAACATGTTTTCGCTGCGCCGCAACGGGCGTTACGCGCAAGAACATCACAGCTTCAAGCACGTCAACTGGAAACGCATCACCAACACCATCATTTCTTGACCACTGTGCGAAGCTACCGAGACTGTGGAAAGGAACCTGTCTGAGTTTTATCGATCTCAGTCCAGAAAACAAATGTGTCGCCATTCGTTCCCTGACAAGCCATTGACAATCGATTCCAGACCCCACAAGAAGTACATGGTCGCAACTTGCAACCACAGAGTGTGAACCTTCCCAATGTTAAAGAAGTTGTGGTATTGACAAGTTGGTACTAGCGAGGGCATTCCCTGCGGCAAAATTCCATAATATGGGTATTGGAGAAAATATGAAACCAAAGGGGCCAATATGTTGTCCGTTTTTGTATCAATTGCCCGCTTTTTGTATCAAGCATCCCATGTTTAGCTTGCTTAATTCTATGGGTGTGTTTTCCAAGTCCGCTGTTTGAAGCAGTTACCGAATTCATTGTGGTCAATGCAAGCCCTGCTTCAGGGACAATCAGTTCCAAAACTGTCGAAATATCTCAGAGTCAGCTAATATGGCTAAATAACGACATGATTGGGAGCTGTCATAGCTGCTGCTAGCTGGTGAATGCCTCTGGAAAAAAGCAACACGATACTAGATTGGCTGCAGCATAGTTTCATAATATTAAATTATCTTCTACCGATCAACATGTTCTACGGCTTTAGCAGTCTAGGTTTTAGCCAGCGAACCAAAGAATACCATTTCACTATTATGTCACAAGGGACAATATCATTATATGTCACATATCATTATGATGTGTATGTATACATTATTGCAAAGAGTGCATCATCCCAGCTTGCTACTGATCTTCACAGCCGCACGCCGTGGCTCAAGATGGGGACCAGCCCAATGGCATAGCACTGAGGTGAGAACCGGGGTGATCCGCCGGGGTTCAGGCTGTCACGCAATGGCAGCGGAGCCGAGGCGACGATCCAAGGGGTGTTTTTACTGTAGTGAGCCATGGAGGCAACGGTGCCTGTGCCTGAAGGTTCATCAGACGAACCACCACCAGTGCAGCAGCAAGATGAGACGCCGAGGGCAGAGTCTGAGGGATCCAGCGGAAACCCTTGGGCCCGTTCTGAAGGACGGCGGCTACGTGCCCCTGCTCTTGAGCAAGAGTTCGCGCAGTTTCTCCAGTGGCGACAGGCCAACCAGCCCTACGGCATGGGTCTACAACCTGGACATTATGGAGATGCTGGTCAAGGTCTATGGCAAGCTGCGAGGGACGAGCAAGAGAGAACCACAGCGGGTCCTCTGCCAGAATGGGATGGAGTAAGCACTGAGTTCAAGGACTACAAGATCAAAGCAAGGATCTGGCTCGCACCCCACCACATGCTCGAGGACCACTGCTGCTGAAGAACCTCACAAAGGGTCCATGGGAGGACCTGAAGTACCTGGCCAATGATGAGTCATGGATGACTGACCCAGAGAATGGCACCAAACTGGTCAACCTCAGGGGCTCTAGAGAGTTCTATGGCAAGGAGAAGCGGGAATCTATGCTTGCAGCATGCGCCCGTCTCACATATCACCTGAGACGTCAGAAGGGCGAAACCGCCCGAGCCTTCATGACGAGATGGGACCCCGCTGAAAGAAAGATCCGCGAGCACGATGTCAAGCACCCTCAGGAATACCTGGGCTTCTTGATGGTGAATGCCCTCACACTGGACTCAAAGAAGACCAAGCTCCTTTTGACCTTCACGAAAGGTTCACTGCAGGTGGCTGATGTCAAGGATTGGCTGAGGATCCATGAGACCGACCTCGACATGAGCAATCTTGGCAACGACCGCAAAAAGACGACGGTGAACTTTCTCGTCGACACCGATGAGGCCAAGGAGATCCAACTGATGGACATTCCTGAAGAGCACGAGTTTGACAACGAGGAGGCCGGACCTTCTCTTGACAACCATGGCAGACCTTGAAGAGCACAATGACAACTCTGACCAGATGGTCACCCTCACAGAGTCCGAGACCAAGGAGATCTTGATGACCATGGTCAAGGACTTGAAAAACAAAGGTAGGAACTATGCAAGCGCTTTGAAGGCGAAGAAGAACAGGGATTTGGCCCGTGGCTATGGTGCGGGGCGAGATGGAATCTTGAAGCCCGGCGCTTACAGTACGAAGTGTCAATTTCTGAGCTCAAAAAGAGAACCAAGTGTAACTCCTGCGGTGTGGTTGGACATTCGGCTCGTGAATGCCCGTCCAAGTCCCGCAAGAGCTCTGATTCGCATGGCCAGAACGAGCACTTCAAGGCCAAAGCCAGGGAGGTGAACTTCCTTTCACAGGAGATGCCAAGTTTTGCTGAAAGCGAATTTCTTTATTTAGAATCTGGAGGGGTCAATGGCAGCAACTGCTCTGCCTCTGACAATTTGGATTTGTCTCGTGCCTCTCGAGATTACATAGTGCGGCCTCCAGCCTTTCCATGTCTTCACATGACAACAATTTTGGATGACAATGGTTGTGCAACTATTGATACTGGATGTCAACGAATGGATATCGGAATCAACACACTGAATAGACTACAAGAATCACAGCCATCTTCATTACCAATTTCATTCTGTAATGAAATCCACCAGTTTCGAAGCGTCCGCAAGGTATCATGTACGACCAAGTTGGCTTGTATTCCACGCAGTTTGGGGCCTCATGGATGTAGTTTACGTCCTGCATTATTTGAAGATGACAGCAGTGCAGATGCTCCTTTTTTGTTGTCACTATACCATCTCTTCTCCATTGTCAAGCCACACTTCACTTGGATGATTCACAAGGTTTGATGCCGGTTTCACATCGATTTGGTTTCGAGGTACAGTGTTATTTGGGTCCAACAGGTGCAGTTCGTATTCCAATTCAACCATTTACAGATTCGATGGTACAATTTCTGGGACAACAGTGTTGAAGGAATCGTGATGAGTATGAGCTCATGCAGACCACGACCGAGAAGCACCCAACCTCTTCAACTTTTGGCTCAACCCAGCGGCTCAAGACAGTGACGCTACAGAACGAGTCTCCAGCCCTTGGAGCAGCCCTTCGATCTGACTGCGATCATGCATGGCCATCGCTCGAAGCGTGTGAGGAGCATGCCGAGAACAACCAGAATGCCCTCCAGGCCTGGGTCCGAATGACCTTGCGGGCCATGATGATCATCAGCCATGCAGTTCAACATCGTGTCCAACATCATCTTCGCATTCCTGGGCCCCGAGGAGTTCTAGCACGCCAGATTGTGGAGATGGGCGAACTGCCGGAGACGGTCCAATTGGACAAGGTGGTCAATCAACTCAGTCGTGCTCTACAAGAACCATCCTTGCAAGAGGTGGAGTCCAGATCCCCAACTTTGGGTGACATCAGCTCGAGAGCCCGCACAGGGGAGAACATCATCCAGCCGGATGGCACCAGCGACACCGAGGTCATTGCCGACGACACCAATTTCAATGGATGGACCACCACCCACGCCAGATTGGAGACAAGTCAACATGCGGGAGATTCCCCAGGACCTGGACATCAACAAGGAGGCACCGAAGTGCCATTGCCACCGAGATGCTGCTCTGTGGATCTCCAAGACGGAGGAACCCAGATCGTCTGTTCTGGAAGTGCGGACGGGAGAGAAGCCAGCAATGCAGCTTCTTCCAATGGCTGACTACCAGCCTCTCCGTCCAGATCTTCAAGCCAACTCGAACATGGAATATTGCACCAAGAAGAAGCAGCAAGATCTATGCCCTCACAAGCGGACTACGAAAGAAGGATCCAACGGGCTCAACAGCAACTCAAGGACGAACTCACTGAAGCTGGACTCAAGATTCACCAAGCTCGAGCGGCAAAGCAGGAAGCCTCGTCATGGAGCTCCATGCAGAGCCAGGCGAAGATGGAACAGGACAACAAGGACCTCCAGGACTTTCTGATGCGGCGCCGTTCCCAGCATCATGCAGAGGAAACGCATCAGAGCCCAGCGGCCAGTGCATCTCGTCGCAGCGGCCTCTTCATGTGAATGAGTCTGATGCAGTACCATCAAGCCGGGGTTGCGGCGACATATTTTTGGCTATTTGAAGCGAGCTGAAACATCATGGTTGGAACTTCACCCGCTTATTTGTGAGGCTTCGGAAAACCATATTGATTTGACTTGTCGGCTGATTCGTGAATCGCTTCAACTACAACAACCACATATGAAGCATCTGGCGGATTTATATCTTTTGCAGCCAAAACAGCTGAAGACAGCTGCGGAAGTGTGGAACCCGGGTCGTTTTAGCCCCCATACTGATCATTTTGGTCGTCGTGCAGGCCAGGCATTTGATTTAGAACTGGGATGGAATCTTTTCTCCAAAAAGACTCAAGAACAAGTTTCGGAATACATCAAAACTGAAAGACCGGGATTGACCGTCATTTCTCCACCTTGTGTGAAATTCAGCAAGCTTCTCAATTTGTCTTGGCCGAAATGGTGTGGGAATCCTCAAATGTTTGACCAACATATTCGTGAACTTCACACGCCGCAAAACAATTCTTGCGTTTTTGTGCAAAAGCATGTCAACTCTGCAGATCACTGGGCTTGAGTTTGCGTTTTGAACACCCATGGTCCGCTAGTTCCTGGAATGAACCATGTTTGCAACGCTCATATCTCAAGAAGATTGTTATTTGGCATGTGGTGATCAGTTCATGTTTGGTTTGGTGACTAGTCAAGATGAACCTATGCGGAAAGGATCAGGGTTCCTCACCAACAATTCATACATCGCTCAAATCTTGAACACAACGTGTGATCTTTCTCACACACACCAAACCGTCATGGGCCGTGATCGTGGCGCGTCGATCCATCGATCAGAAGTATCCCTTGAAGTTGATCATGGCCATTTTGGCGGCTTTTGCAAATTCGATTGGCCTCTCCCATGACTTGCTTTACGTCATGGGTGGCCAGAAGACCATTGAGGCCGAGGACAATTTTGAGCTCAACCTGATGCTGTCTGGCGAACTTGCTGAAGATCAGGCTCTACCACTTTCTCCCAACGTAGATCCTCGCTGTGGTCTTTCTGAACGGCATGGCGATCAAGGTCGTGCAAATTCTGAAGTATGTCCTGACAAACCTTCTGAAGCAGAAGAAGTACAAGATCTCCTGGCACTTGGTGAATCCGAGGAACCAGAATCTCTCGAACAACCAGCAGCTGGAGAGAAAGAGAGCATTCCAGGCAGCCATCACTTTCACTTGAGGCACTTGGCAAACGAGCCCATGATGGACTAGGTCATCCTGGCCGAGATCGTGATCTGCAAATCTTGAAGAACAGCAAGGCCAGTGATCGAGCTGTGAACATAACACAAAACATGAAGTGCTCAGTTTGTGAAAAGTTCCAAATCCCTAGACCATCTCGAGCTGGAGCTCCACCCAAGGAAATTGGATTGAATGAGGTTGTTGGCATTGACACTTTTCAAGTTCGTGTGCGTTTGTCCACCAAGACTAAATACTGCCTCACCATTGTCGACTACAGTAGTCACTTTCAACTGGTAGTGCCACTTCCTGGTCATACAGCGCATGAAATTTGAGTAGGGTATCGATTGTGGTTAAGGATCTTTGGCCCTCCTCGCAAGCTGTTGTGCGACTTGGGACGTGAGTTTCAGAAGGAGTTTGAAAACTTGGCCGAAGCCGATGGTACTGAGCTTTTGCCCTCTGCACTGGAAATGCCGGAGCAGCGTGGTTATGTTGAACGACAAGGTCAGCTCTACAAGGAAATGTTCTACAAGACTATGGAGCAGGTAACTTCCAGAGACTGGCCCACATGGTACCAGACCATTGACCTTGTGTGCTTCACCAAGAACCGACTGCTGTCTCGTGGAGGTTTTTCCCCGGGCCCACGAGTTTTTGGCTATCAGCAAAGAAATCCAGATGAGTCGGATTTGGCAGTCCAAAGCTTAGCAGCCATCGGCGACACCAACGTTGCCAAAGCGATGGAGATTGGCAAGGCAGCATCCATTGCCTTCCATGAAACCGATTGCCAACAAGCTGTACGAGCAGCAGCAACCCATCGTCCTCGACCACACTACTCGCATGAGATGGGCAAAGCAGTCTACTTCTGGCGACGTGGTGCCGATGCTGCTCGAAAGCCAGCAACTTACTTTTGGCATGGTCCTGCACGAGTGGTAGCAACCCAACTACCATACACAGTCTGGCTGCCTTACAACCATCACTTGGTCAAGGCTGCGCCGCCGGAGAAGATCCGGCCAGCATCAGGAGCTTTTTCTCCCTCTCTGAATGCCTTGATGGGATTTCCTATGCTAAGAAGCAATTTGAGACAGATCAAATCAAGGGCGCGATTGACTTGTCCAAGGACCAGGATGTTCCACCTCCACCTGCTGGTGAACAATATTATTGGCGACAAGATGGAGGTTCCTGGGTCCGTATGCACCTTCAAGAGCGTCGAGAACTATTCCAACCTCACAATGCAGATCCAAGTCTTCCATTTTTCACTGAACAAACCAAACCCTGGCGAAAATCAAAGATGATCCTAGCTGGCGGTACCGAGGACGCTTTGGAGGACAACTAGACTTATCAGGCAGTAGTTCCACTTCATGGTGAACTTTGGACAGGTGAGACATGGTTTGACATGAACGATGGCAGCCAGCCACCGACACAACTCCTCAAACGGGATCCACAACCTGAACCATTGCCACGGCGATTGCGACAGAAGACGCATCACACTGATGCAGTGATCACACCTGCACCTGTACGAACTACCTGGTGGACCACATCAATCTGTTGAAACTCAAGATGATCAAAAGTCTGAGATTTCTATGGCGTTCTCCAATTCCAACGCCAGATGGTCTCTCAGAATCTGGAGGTGATCCACCCGAGAATGCCGAGAACGTCAAACCAGAAGATTTTCCGGAAGCGTGACCATGAAGCAGTCAGCCAGAGTCCTTCTGACTGGGAGCCACTTCCAGTTTGCAGGCGCAGTCGCTTGGAGCTCCTCGAGGTCTACTACCAGGAGATTGCCAACAAGTCAGCCCAACGGCAGAAGAAGGGCAAGGAAGCCACAGCAAGCTTCAACTGATTGGTGGGAAGAAACACAGGATTGTTGGATTCGTCATCATGTATCAGGACAGTGCACAGCATTCCATCCAGCCGCATGTCAGGATGGACCAGATCTTCACGACCTCCAAGCCCAACGATTGACCGAGGTCAATGTGAACAATAGAACCTCTACTATTCAGGATTCATGGACTTCGAGTGACAGTTTGCGTAGTTTGTCTTCACAACCATGGACCGGATCCACTACTTTCTATAAGCAGGAGAAGGGGCAAGTTCTTGACACCAAAGGGATCCATGCCGGCTACGAGCAGCTGAACAAGCTCTACAGCCTCATCTTCTATGACCAAGAACTCCCGGAGTCTCAGAGTCTGCAGAATGTCTCCATTGCTTCATGGAAAAGCTATCGTCTGAAACGTCAGACGGTGAACACCTTAAGTTCTGAGAGGCAGGCCCTCGTGCGAGGACTTGGATCCGTGCATTGGTATCGCATTTTGATTTTGGAAGCCAGAGGACTTCAACTTTCAGACCGAGAATGGCATCGAGAGGTGGCCCGACTTCCTTTCATTCGCATTACTGATTCGAAGTCGTTGTACGAGGCCGTGAGCAAGTACACCAATCCTTCTTCACAATGTGGTGACAAGAGGACATCTATAGATATCTCACTCATCAAGCAAGAAGTGAATGAACTCAACGGAAAAATTTGTTGGGTGCATGGCAAAACCATGATCGCCGACCCCTTGACTAAGGAAGCTCGATCTGACCTTCTTCGTCATATGATCTGCACAGGCCAATGGTCGATTCTTGAAGAAGGGTCGGCATTGCAACAAAAGCTTTTTGAACGAACATCTCGACATGAGGTGCTTTTCATCATTTAAGCCTGTCCGAAAGCAAGTTTGGCCGGTGCAAAGAGTGCATCATCCCAGCTTGGTCAGGCTACTTCTCTTCACGGCCGCATGCCGTGGCTCAAGATGGGGACCAGCCCACTGGCATAGCGCTGAGGTGAAAACCGGGGTGATCCGTCGGGGTTCAGGCTGCCACGCAATATCACGCAATTATATATTAGTGTATTCCCAAGGTCTTTCAGTGGTTCTTTCTACTGCACAAGCGCTTCCTGCTTTGTCACTGCTAGTCAGCCGGCCCCACGAAATCCCATCGGTCCCGGAAGGTTCTTGCGACAACATCCATCACTCGAGCCGCTGCTGTGTCGCTACGGCCACACAAGGTGATCTATGCTTCCGGGTTTGCCATGACAGATAGGTTGGGGCGGTTGGGGTCTTGGGAACTCAATTCCATGCAATTCGGCTACACTATACAGACATATACAGACTATACAAGGACACGGTTCACACCAGGAGCCCAGGAGATCTTGATCCAGTCTTACATGTCTTACCTTCAGATTCAAACAGTTGACATTTCAAGAAATGTTTCCCTCTGAGGTCTTAAAATGGTGGTACTCTGTCAGCTGGCGCTCCCAACGATGTGATTCCCAGTGCGAACCTGGCGGAATGGACAAACTGACAGTTCTGTTGAAGCTCCACTTCTCAGTGATTTCTTGAATTTTCTTGACCCATGGCTACACTCTGGCTACACTTCTCAGTGATTCATGAACAGCGCAATCGAGGTCGTCCTTTTCGCTCAATGGTCTGCTTCCATGATCCCGGCTAGACGCCGGTGAACTCTCAAACGATCCGCATGGCGCTCCTCGACGCTGAGATTAGACTGGTACATTCAGCTAGAGCCCTTGATGGCTTGAGATGCTTCAGTAACACCTGTGGAAAAGATTGGAGCTGGTTCTGCACAAAACATGATCACAGCACTTAACATGTTCACTGACCAAAGGGCAATGGGCCACGTCTGATGAAGCCTGACTACTCCCCGTCTCCAGTGTCTGGGACAGGAAGAGGATCCCTCCAAAGATGTAGAAAACCTCCCCAGAGTGAGCACAGATATCTGTCTTTGGAAGACTACAGGGACAAAAAGGCGGAAATGGTGAGGCTTGACAAAGTGGATGTGATTCATTAGTGACTCCAAGATACTCCAAGCGCCTAACAAACAACAAATCAACGCCTAAATGCATAGCACCATGCGAGGCCCCATTCTGGCCATTCTGGGCCTGTCCCAACTTGGTGATGGTGGCAGGGCTGACGCGCGACCAGTAAGGCATGGCAGCGAAGAGCACGGAGCCGCTGAGGTACAAAGCGCTGCCCAGGAAACTGGGATCTGCCAACAAGCTGCGCCACAGGCTCCTTGCCATGTAGCTATGGCAGCTATGGTTTTGGCATGTTTTGGCGAAGAGCTTGGAAACATGCTCGAAAACAGTGCCTTTCAGGGCGGTGATACATGTGATACCTCTTCTCAAGTATCATGATAACACATAAAATCAATCAAAATCATAGAGAACTAATGAGAACTATATGAAACGTCCCTACTCTTCTCTTCTCAACTTCGTCGAGGTGCAGATAGAAGTTGCGCTCCGCATTGTCGTGGAAGCTGCGGAACTCCTACAGTTGAGGACGCTGCGTTTGGAACATAGGTCAAGGATCAAATACAGCAGCAACACGAACAAATAAGAGGTTTCAGAGGTTTCATCTGACTTCACTGATCCACATCTGTTGATAGCGATGGCTTACACACCCGCCAGGTTAGTATCACATGTTAATTTTACCATGTTTTCGGATATCATGACTTTTGCAAACGTTCCACACATGCTGAAGATCGACTAAGTAGCTAGCTATTTTCCACTCGATACCTCTTGCACGGAATACATGATATACCTGTTACATCCTGTTACCATTGCATGTTCTGATCTTGCATTTTGTCCTCAGACAAGGCTTGTCAACTAAAGCACTAAAGCTATTTCAAGCTGTTCCAAGTCCACCCTTTGGGTTGGCTTGGCTCTACAAGAGTCTTCACATGAGCCCTCATATGAGTCCTCCCATCGAGGTGAGATCGTGTCAACATGTACTTGGGCACCATGAACCAATGCTGGTGCTGATTGATGACTCAGGTCTGGGAGTCTGCAAACATCCACACGTTTCTGGGCAGAATGCTGTCAAAGGACGTCGTGCGACCCAATCATTGTGGTAATGAAAGCAGAATTCGTCACGCATCCAGGACGCAGATTTCAGCACGGAGCAATTGCCTTGAGAACCGTTCTTGGCAAAAACCATCAATTCGTGATCTTCCTGCCATAAACCCTTGTTGCTGGTGTAGAAGAGCCCCCAGTAATAATCCCAGGCCTCCTTCTTCTCCACATCATCTTCTCCAAAATCTTCACAGGATACGTTCATGAAGCCAGGTTCATCCTTACATCCCAAGCGGCATCCATTCGAGAGAAACTGACCGGCAATGGCCGTGCTACATTTGCAGGTCTCTGGACAAAGCATCCGAATCAGCGGTAAATTGCCTTCTCCACAGAAAGGCTCAGCGCTGGCACAATCTGTGGCTCCTGTAAGAGCTGTTGCGGTGCTCCACAGCCAGTCTCCTTCCCAAAAGTCACGGCCTTGGTCTTTGCAGCTGTTTCCAAACCAGTTGCCGAAGCCATACGTTGATTGATCAGCGACCTGAAACTGATCCATAGTCAACCAACCATTGAAGTCTCTCACAGTTGGAGTATGCTTCACAGCAACTGCACCCCGCCCTTCCAAGGTTCCCCTCCACATCCAATCTATGGCTCCAGGTTTGTAGTTTTCTGAAACCTCTCGCAAGAGTGGAAGCATCCCTGGGAGCATCTTGTTGTCTAAATTCCCATCTTCGAAAGGAGATGTGTCTGTCACAAAGATGGGCCCCACTTTGGTATGAGATTCAATGATAAAATCCTGGTTGCCACTGCAAATGATATCCCTGACCTCTCGAGCAGAATGAGTGTTTGAAACTACTTCCAGCGACACGAATGCCACAACAACTCCGAGGAACGCCAGCAATTGGAGACTGCTGGCGAGATTGTAAGCCCATGCTTTTCTGGTCTGATTCTCAACCCGGGCAACGGACGTGACAAAACGACTTGCATGGTGTGGAGCAAACAGCTCAAAGAACAGCTCGTCAATTTCCAACACGAAGACCAACGAAACTCCATTCCTGGTGTAGCTTGAGACGAAGCCATAAGCATGTATGTAGCATATACATAATATTAAAAACCATTATAATATCAAATAAAGTCCAGTTTCTTGAAAGTGTCTAGCTCGGTTCGTATGCAAAAAAGACGCTTAATTAGCCCCTGGTGCTGAGCTTCTGGATGATGTTTTCAACATCCCGGGTTCGACATAACCAGAGAGCTCCACAGAAACCCAACAGCGCCGCCAAAGCAGCACGCACCGCCAGCACCACCAAAAGCAGCGACATTCTCACTCTGCTCATGGATACGAAGCAACACTTGAAGCGAGCCTCACATGCTGAGACCATCTTCCAACTTGGAAAGCCAGGTCAGGCTAGGTGTTGGATAGCATTGGATAGCATTGGATAACTCCGATAATTTGGGTTTCGGAAGAACATGGAAGAACACTTCAAGATTGCGAGAATCCGGAGGCCTGCACCATCACGTGGGGTCTGCTTGTACGTAGCGTATAATCTGAAGAGGGCGAGAATGGTAAAGAACTTATGAAAAAAAAGAGTCGGGTCTGGACTTCAGTTTTTCCACATGTTTTTCATTGTTGTTAACTGTTTTCACCCAGTGGCATAGCTCATGCTGCCCAAGCTTCCTGCGGACCCTGCATGTATCATGCCTCCTCGCAGTGGCAGCATGGTTCTACCAAGAAGACAAGATAAATGTTCCGACCAAAAATAGCAGCAGTACATTCAAGCAAATTTACGCCAGATCGAAAGAAGCAAATCCGTCAAACATCTGAAATGTTTGCTGCGTCACATTCCAAAAGTGAAACTGCCGCTGCATGCAATCAAACTGTGGAGACTTACACTCTAAACATCTCAGCGGGCCTTTACGATTGACGTGGTCCATGTCCAGTATTAACGCGGGACCGCTTGGGATGACCAGCAAATTCATTGTGAGGTCACCGACCCGCTGCAATTCCTACAGCATGTCCACTGTCCACTTGCGTCTAAATTCAAAATCTGTCACAACAGAATTGAAATTCGAATCTAATTCTAACACAATTTCGAATCTATTTTTTTAATATTTACCTTATAATATTTTGATATTTTTTGTGGCATCCTGATTTTCATTTATTTCACTGCCGACAAGGTTGGACAGGTCAAGCAGGTCCAGGTTGATAGCAACACTGCATAACATGGCGAAGGGTGGCGAAGGGTGGCGAAGGGTGGCGAAGGGTTACAACAGTTGCCACGCCTTGGCGATGTAGGCCAACCAAATGGCGACTGCCATGCTGCTGAGGACGGAGCCCACCGTCATGTCTTCGGAAAGCAACGGCGTCAAATAGTCCTCAAAGCAGCACTGCAGTCAATCAGAGCAATCCCTACAAGTTGAACAAATCTGAACAATCTGAACACTTCAGGCAGCTCGCAGGCTGAGAAGTTTGCTGTTGCAAGGATAAGCACACTGACTTTCGGAAAATTGAGTGGTCCCATGGTGCCGGACGAGTGAGGCATGGATGCTACGAAAGCATATTGAAGGCATATTGAAGGCATTGTTTCAAGCATGTTTTAACACATATGTACACTCCCGGGAACAAACGTGTCTCAGGCTACCGTTTCAGGTATCAACTAACATGTCCACTCTATACCGGCGTTTTCCTGGGGAATGCATTGCAACTTTCTTTTTACACATTGACCCAAAAACAGCTAACATGTCTCAGTTCCTGCAATTGGGGCCCTTGGATTTCGACCCTGATCTGGGATATGTTCGCTATTTTGGGGGGATAGATTCAGCCAATAACCACTCACATATTTCAAAACCACATCCTCTGAACAACACGGACACGTTAGGTGGACGCTTTCCATGGCCAGTCATCCAACCCTTAGTAAATGCAACTGGTTTTTGGAATGCACCCCCAATCTTCCTGCCCACCCACGGGCATCATCTATGATGCGCTCTTCCGGAAGGAGTTGGGACCCCTTTTTTCTCCACCGTTTTGTTATCAATGCAGTCTTTGATTTGAGCCCTATTGGGGTCTGGAAATAAAGATGCTGGGGCGTCCGGGGCGGTAGTCTTCTGGCAGTTTCCCGGGAACCCCCAGAGGGGGGAACAACTTTTCCACTAACATGTCCATTCTGGATTTTCAACTAACATGTCTCTAGTATAGGGCATTTATCATAGCCTATGTTCACAGCAGCTAACGTATCCAAAAAAACTTTTTTTCCACAAAAAAGTGGATACGTGTCTCGGGCTACCGTTTCAGGTATCAACTAACATGTCCACTCTGTACCGGCGTTTTCTTGGATTTCCTGGGGAATGCATTGCAACTTTTTTTGGGACCATTGACCCAAAAACAGCTAACATGTCTCAGTTCCTGCAATTGGGGCCCTTGGATTTCGACCCTGATCTGGGATATGTTCGCTATTTTGGGGGGATAGATTCAGCCAATAACCACTCACATATCTCAAAACCACATCCTCTGAACAACACGGACATGTTAGGTGGACGCTTTCCATGGCCAGTCATCCAACCCTTAGTAAATGCAACTGGTTTTTGGAATGCACCCCCAATCTTCCTGCCCACCCACGGGCATCATCTATGATGCGCTCTTCCGGAAGGAGTTGGGACCCCTTTTTTCTCCACCGTTTTGTTATCAATGCGGTCTTTGATTTGAGCCCTATTGGGGTCTGGAAATAAAGATGCTGGGGCGTCCGGGGCGGTAGTCTTCTGGCAGTTTCCCGGGAACCCCCAGAGGGGGGGACAACTTTTCCACTAACATGTCCATTCTGGATTTTCAACTAACATGTCTCAAGTATAGGGCATTTATCATAGCCTATGTTCACAGCAGCTAACGTATCCAAAAAAAAATATTTTCCACAAAAAAAGTGGATACGTATGTTCCCTAGAGAGTAAACTATGCGGGTCGGGGCTCGTCAATCTCGTTTAAGAGCGCATGAGTCCACCACTCCCTCTCGAAAGGTTTGCCGCGGCACGCACGACTCACCAAGGATGAATCCGAGTTGGCATCGTAGCCGTTCACCGCATGTCCAACAAGCAAGCGCCAATCCACCTGAAATGCGAGACACCCGAGACACAGCATTGTGGCACAAGACAACATGAAAATATATTAATATGAAAATAACATTGAGACATATCGAGACATATCGAGACAGGGCAATGATGTCATTCTTTATCTATGCCAATCTATGCCCTGGGACTCTGATTGTCGGCATCGCCTATCAATGTAATCAACAGAATCGGAAAGGCATAGAAAGGCTATCATGAATTCTTCATGGATCATATTGCGTGTACTTCATGGCTGTACTTCCAATGTCCTTCAGTTGTTCCAGCCATCGTGCAGCCAACCCACCAGCCAGGCTGGATCATACTTTGCATCTGGCAACAAAAAGGCGACAAACACGATCCAGCAGAAAAGAGATTGAGAGCAGATGCTCACCAAAGTTCCAATTGTCACCAGTAAGGTAGTTGGTACTCCAAGGCCACCCAAGCCCAAAACGAAAATAGCATCCTTGGTGACGGTGCTTCATTGACAACAGATACAACAGGGATAAGGATTTTGAAGAACTAGGCACTGGCATCTTCCTGGTATGGAGACTGCGTTGTCCGATTTCAAATCATAGAATTGCATCAAGTTGCAAAGTCAAAGTCAAAAAATGTCAAAAGTACAACGCAATAGTTCAAGATAGTTCAAGATAGTTCAAGTACATATATACGAGGAATAAATTCAGCAAGATGAGAGTCAGTTCCAAACGAAAGAATAAATTCCTTCTCAATGCAGGTCAGCGTCCCAGAAAGATTCTTGTAGCAGCTGAATGGAGCGCGGAAGCCCATCTGGATTGATGGCTTGAGAGCAGGTGGGAAAGCTCGCTTCGGCCATGATGGCTTCCACGTCCTCGCTGTCCTGCTTCGAACATGTGGACGAAGCCGCTGTTTTCTTGAGGACGTGAAAATCCATGATGATGCCTCAGATAAACTTCAAGCACTTTGCCGCTTTCCAAGAACACCAAACAGATCCAAACAGACCAAACAGACCAAACAGATCAAATCTCACAAGCTCATGCTCTTACGACAGAACTCCATTTAAAAAAAACATCTTGTGAACAACGCACTTTACATGTTGGATCGTTTTGGATCATTTTGGCCAAAGACACCATCATTCGCATCTTTCCCATCTCTGTTCTCGGCTTCGCAGCCGCAGAACTTTTCAAGGCTCGCAACTCGTTGCTCGAGCTCTTGCAGCCGGGCTAGTCGAACATCGAAAGCATCGATGCGCCGTTCAATCACTTCCTCTTGAAATGGGTACAAAATGGTACAAAGATGCACAAAGTGGATACAATATGATACAATGGAGGATTCCATGGAAAATGAAACCGAATTGATACAATGGATGCACTTCGGGTATGATATCTTATGGGGAAAAAGATTGTGTTTCATGCGAATGGTGGATTGGATTCACCATGATTCATCCTGATTTGCTGGATCTCACAAACGCACTTCACCCAAACTTTGCCAAGCTTCAAGTTGGTCATCTCCAACATAAGGATCTGGATGAACCACTTCTGGCAGCACAGCCTCCTGTTCTTCACCACAGCAAGGGCCCACAGGCATCGCTCACGCCATGCTCCCAAAGCAGACTGGAACGACTGGACAAATTCCTTGAGCAAAATGTACACCGGCGAAGGCATGTCCCTGACGTTTTCTGCACTGTTGGTCACGGAAATCAAAGTGAAAAAGTCCACAGGACAGGAGCAGAAGTTTATCGCCCAAGCACAACATGGCACATCAAGTCCTCTCGAGAAATCGCTTCGGAACTTTCCGTGTTGATCTCTTCCCAGATGGCATTGAAGCCGCTCATGTCCATGATCCCACAACTCCTTGGAGGAGCAGCTTTCATGCTACCGGGAACCCGGTATTATAAGAATCTGTAGGATAATTGTTTATATTTTTTAGCAGATTCTTGTTAGATTTTTGTTTATCAGGAGGTTGTAGAGGTACAGTAGAGGAATTTGCCATCTGCTGTCCAGGAATGTGACGGAACATGTTTCAAGTTTGTTCATCGTTGTGCGCTTCGCTTGAAGTGTCCTGGTCACCAGGCAACATGAGAACCCAAAATGCACTGCTCACTTCGCTCGGACATGACTCTGCCAGTGTCAAGAAACTGCAAACACATGACTACAACTTGACTACAAACGATTCTCCCAAAAGGTAAGGGCGGGTCGATGCATTTGCTTCCTGAATCATCTCCTGTGCACACAAGTTCATAATTGATCCATGTTAAATCTACTTCTTAGTTATTCGTTCTTTTCTTTCTTATCTTTCTTGATACAGTAGTTCTTGATATACCACCTCTCGAGTGCCCAGCTGCATCATGTATTGTGCCAGCTCTCGTCGATCTAAGCGTCCATCTCTGTCCAGATCTGCACCGTCAAAGATGCGATCTGCTGGGTGTTGCGGACCCAGCAACCTCTCCCAGAAGCTCAAGGCCTCGTGACACCGCAGAACCACAGGCGAACCACGGCATATGCCAGGGCATCTGAGTCTGTGGAGTATCAGTGGAACATCCTGCATATCCTATGTGCTCTTGGACATGGACGACATGAATGACATGGCTTCCCACTGCGTTTCGTGACAAATGTGACAAGTGTTGTGGAAATACCTCAGGGAAAGAGTTAGGAGGCTCTCCAGACAGGATTGAATGCTGACAGCATTTATTTATATCTGATTGTTTGAAAAATTCATGGCACGCAATTTTCGACTTTGACTCTCAGGCGCCTCTTCTTGAGGATGAAGTACCTGCTGCCGGGTTAGGCACCTTCGGTGGAGATTTCTTACGGGCTTTGTGCAATGTCCGGCGTCCATTTGACACTGCTCAATGAACTGACTTGGCTGTCACAAGGCAAAACTGCCCAAATCAGTGGCGACTCGATGCTTTCAGGTCGACAATTTAGGGAGCCTTCCCAGACAGCAAAACCCCAACGAACAACATGAGTCCCATCTAGTCCAGAAACTCGAGTACTCGAGATATCGTAGCCGAATCGTAGCGGAACCCCAATTCTTAGAGGACACTGCTTGAATCCGAGATTCTGCTTGGATTCGAGGCAGCTGCCACCACGCTAAGGCCTGATGGAAGTGGTCCCAGGATATGAATTTCCACTGGACCTTTTCTCCATCCATAGCACCCACTTAAAATGACACCCCAACGTGAGACCAAATAAACTTATCCAATAAATCTAGGTGTGTGCATCCCAAACTGGTTTGGGAGTTTGGGAATTGTGGTTATGGCTCATCAATTGCCCCAAAAATTGAATGGGTTTCAGTTTCATGCTCAAAACATCTACCGTCCAGCAAATTAACATATGGAAAACCCATGAAAATGATTGAATCCATATTTCCTTGCGATGACCGTAGGCCACGGGTTTTTCCACATGCTAGTTCGAGAGAACTTAAATAACATTTCAGTTTCATAGCCCATTTAAAAAAAAAAAAAAACTAAAAGATATTCAAAGATATTAAGATATTGATACCTGAATAATACCTGAATAATATCTGAATCTATCTTATGGCTCCTGGCTCCATATGGCTCCATATGGCTCCATTGCTTCACCAAGGCACTGCAACAGCACCGAGCCCAAGGCCCAGGGCACCCGCGCCCACGGTGAGACGCAGTGCCAGGGTGAGCTCAGAGCTGGCGAAGGCAACGAGCTCGAGAAATTCTGTTGGATATCTGTTGATTACAGATCTGTAGATCTATTTTTGTACAGATTACAGAAATCTACGGATCTTTAGAGATTTCTACACATTTCACAGATTTCGACGATTTCTACAGTATCGAATTATGTTTTGAATTTACCATGTCGGGTTGGGATGATATGATGATGATATTGGAATGATATGGGAATGATGTGGGGCCGGTCGTGGTCTGCATTTTTACAAGCTTTGATTGGTGTCGCTAGCATCTCGGGGAAGCATCATCATGGAATGAAGAATGATTTTACGTGAGTTGGGAATCTCTCGTGCACTGGCTGTGCAGCAAATATAAGATCACACAAGCTGACTGCAAATGTGTGAAGCCCATGTCTCACAAGAGACAGTGACTATGGCCTTGTTGCAAGGCCAATGCGAGCACCACTGCCATGGTGTGCTGCCTACCAGGACTGCTGTGGCTTTCAACGACATATACGAGTGGTTTGAAGACTGCTTTTGGATTGCAAAACGACCATCCCCCATCGCCATCCATCGCCATCCCCCAAGGTTGGTTCCCTGGCAAAAGGTCGAAATTTTCTGCCATGGCCGCATTTTCTGGACTCTTCATACCCGAAAGGCCTCCTGAGTTGCGAAGCATCTTGATGCCTCAAAGCAACAGTTGCTACAGGCACATGACGGAGATCACATCTTTTCCTGCTACTTATCGAAAATCAAAGAAGCCTCAATTCCCCTTGATGTTGGGTTCACCGCAATCTGGAATGCCTAGCAAGGCTGACATTGCTTGGGACCAACCAAACAGAACCTCTTGACACTGTTCACAGGGCTCGCAGAAAACAACTGACCTTGTATGAAATGTCACGACATTTCATGACCGTTTGACCTTTCCCACTGAAACAAACACCAAGGGTCTTCTCGCGATCTCATGCACCGTGACCAGTTGCTGCCACATCCTACGCTGCGGAGCCGGCGCAGCGATGCCATAGCGGGCTCGAGGCATGAAGAGAGGAGATGAATCTAAAATCCCTGGAAATCCGTGAGGAAATCTGCAAAATCCTGAATGTCAGCTTGTTCATTTATTTCTGCGGTAACATAACTGCACCAGCCCCTGATTTTTGAAACTTTGAAGCTGTCAGATTGTCAAGGGTCAGTCTTGGAAACAGCTGATTAGGCCTCAGGGCCCCTGCATAAGGATGACACGCACTTTGAAGATGTAGGTTGAAGCTGTCAGACTGTAAAGGGTCAGTCTTGGAAACAGCTGATTAGGCCTCAGGGCCCCTGCATAAGGATGACACGCACGTCACAGAGAACTTGGTGGGCCTATGGCTCAAGATTGGAAAACAAGCTGCTGCATGGAGCGTCGTGGGTTATGAGCCCAACATGTCGCTTGTGCGCCGCCGAGACGCCTCCGTGCAGAGACGTGCTGCTAGCGCTGCGGCAGCAGCAAAAGCAGCGGAAGCAGCTGATGACTTGATGGAAAGCCTCTTGGAAGACAGCGCCAAGGAAAGGGGGTCAAAAAACCAAAGAGCCTTAGAAAGCGGACCACTTAGGGAGCATGCCGGTGAAAGAGGTAGAGCTGAGGGTGGGATGCTAGGGGACTTGGTAGGAAACCCGTTGACCTTAGGCAATGTTGACCTTGAGGATAGGCCCACAAGGAGTCAGAACCCTGAAGTCCGAAAGGTTGTTGTTGGTAAGTCTGAGGGCAGTGAAGCTAGGAAGGAGTCACCGAGGTCAAAGTCAGCTGAACCCCGAGCCCGTTTTGCTGATGAACCGCCAAGGGGTGAAAGACCGAAACCTAGTGGAAATGGCAAAGGTGTAGGAACTGGTGAGAAGAATCCGCCAATAAGGAATCCGAGGAATTCCCCGGATGGTGTGGCTGGAGGTGGAGTGAAAGTCATCCCGCCTCCGGGCGGCGAATCAGTTTTGGGAGGTTCAAGTAGTAGGGGAGTTGAAAGCTACTACATAGGCGAACCTGCAGGAACTGAGGAACGTCGAACTGAGGCATGCGGATCTCAGTTGGGTTCTTCGAGACCTGTTGATCCTTGGCTTCATTGTGCCTCGGCTGGTATCCCTCCGGATGGCACTTCGTATCTTGGCGGGAATCAGCAGTGCCTTGGAAGCTGGGATAGGGTGAACCCCTTCTGGAGTCGTGAAACCCAGGTTGAAGCCACCCGGATGACTTGTGGAAATGTGGGGGGATCCCAACAAAATACTCCCCAAAAAGGTCATGTGGAAACCGACCCGATTGAACTATTCCGATTGCGGTGTTTGAGGGATGCGGAAGAAAAGTTTAGGAAGGGTTTGGCACAGATGGCCGGTGACAACTGGTCTCATGGTTCGGTTGGATCCTTTGTTAGTGCAGGGGATGAAGAAGCTTTTGTGCCACCACCGCCACCGGGCCCTCCGCCGAAGTCGCCACCACGAACCCAGCAATCCACCAATTTGTTGTGTTTTGGGGGAACCAACCTGGGGCAGTTCATTCCACCCTTTCCGCAGTCAATGGATGGTAGTGGGAATTCCCGACATGTCATGGGTGAAAATGCTGGCGAGACCCTTAGGTCTTTTGAGCTTCCGGTTTTGCATGAGAATAGCACACCCCTCCAATATGGTGATTGGCTTAGCCTGGTTGACTCACTCATGGGAGACCTTTCATACACTTCAGACATGTGGTGGGGAATGGTTCGCAATGCAGTTGAGGTGAGCTACAAGGAATGGCTTGTCTCTAATCCCATGGATAGACTGAGGATCAAACCTAAGGTGGATCCCAGGGCGGCTGGTTGGCCGAGAACGGAACGACGTGCCTTGGCGATGCTCCTAGCAGCAATTCCTGAGTCAATCCGAAATGAGATCGTTTCCACCCGAAGGATGTCAACTGAACAAGTGTTGTTTAGGCTCAGCGTTGTGTTTCAGCCTGGAGGGTCCCAGGAGAGATTCAAGTTGTTGCAAAGCCTGACGGATAGCAAGTTTGGTACCAGCGCTCCTGATGTCCTGGAATGGGTGCGAACATGGAGAAGGCAGGTTCGAAGGTCTTTGGAACTGGGAATCGTGCTGCCTGATGCATTGGTTTTGACTGGTATCCTCACCAAATGTGCCGATGTGTTGTGTGCCAAGTCACCACAAATCTCATACCGGTTGAACATGGTTCGTCAACAAATTGGTTTGGACTATCAGCCCCATGTCAACACCATTTTGGTTTTTGCGGAACATTTGCAAGCTGAGGCCGAAGAGTTGTCACTGAGTAGCCATGGAAAAACTCATGTAGGACAAGTGAAGGCTGCAGCTTTGTCCGTCCCTCCGGGGATCGAGCAACAAAGTGATGCGAAGCCTGAGGCTTCCACCAAAAAGCCTTGTAAGTTTTGGATGACCGAGAAGGGATGTAGGAGGGGTGATGGTTGTCGGTTTGAACATGTTGCTTTGGATCCCAAAAGCGGTAGATGTTTTGGATGTTCGGCTGTTGGGCACTCCCGAAAAGACTGTCCCCACAAGAATGGTGAATCAAGGGGTGATGGCCACAAAAAGACTGCCAAACTCAAGCAGGTGGACAAGGAGGCCAACCCTCAAAGGGAAGGGAAGGGCACGAGCACCAAAAAACCCAAGGGTGTTGAATCCGAAAGCGGGTCAATTTCCAAGATTGATACTGGGTTGACGGTACCACCAGGGTTGGAAGAGACCACCAAGGAGCATGGGTTAGGGGAGGATGCTGTTGTTCAACTGTTGTCGGAAACCAACACCATTTTGAAGACTATGAACCCAACCATGAAGGCTGTCAAAATCAAAAGGATTGACCATGACTCAATGGGAACCGGGCTTTTGGATGGAGGTGCAACCAACCCCCTCCGACGGGGCAGTCCGCAAGAGCTTGCTGAATCTGAGGTTGTCTTGGTCGAACTAGCCCATGGTACTGTAGAGCTACGACAACACCCGTTGACTGGTTGTATCCTCACCGAAAAGCATGTTGAACCAATTGTGCCACTGAGAGGACTCATCGACCTAGGGTATGTGATCAAGTGGTCTTCAGCTGGTTGTGAAATTCGACACCCCACGAGAGGAACCATCAACTGTTGGCTACGTAGTGGTTGTCCGGTGGTTTCTGAACCTCATGCCTTGGCTCTGATCAGTGAAATTGAAGCTGTGGAGCGAGCTAAGAGAGGGTTTCCCACCATGAATGTTGAACTTTTGGATGAAGTTTCTGAATGGTGGTCCCAACGGTTCCCCGAAGTCCCCAAAAGGGTTTGGAGGTTCATGGCTGGTCAAAATGGCACTTGGAACGCTTCGGAGTTGCCGTGGAATAGGGCCCAGAGACGTCGCCATGCTACAGCCAAGGCCCTGATCATCCACTTGTACTCAGGTGCGGACTCTAAGGAATGGAGAGATCACTGGCCGGACGATGTGGAGGTGATCACGGTCGATGTCAGGGAGGGCCAAAACGCCCACCACGCAGCGACTTGGGGGTACTTGTGGCAGCTGGCGGGATCAGGAAGGGTCATTGGTATTATAGGGGGCCCACCCTGTAGAACCACTAGTAGGTTGCTTGACCAAAAACCAGGACCACCTAGATTGCGTAGTCGAGAAGGGCTGGAACGATTCGGATTTGGTCATCTGACTTTATCCCAACAACAAAAAGCTGATGGTGACACTGCCCTCCTATTCAAGCAGGTAGGACTGTACATGCACGCTGAGGAGTCATGGAAGTACGGTGGTTGGCCGAAGGGCACCGAAACGGTTCCAAATCGGGTTGGGTTTTTGTTGGAATCACCCGAAGACCCCAAAACGTACCTGTTGAATGATGAAGGTGAACATGCGGCTAGTTTTTGGACATGGCCTGAAATCATAGGTTTTTGCGAAAAGTATGCACCTATGGGAATGCAGATGGTTCACTTTGACCAGGGTTGCTTTGGTCACCAGCGGAAAAAACCCACGTCATGTATGACCAACCTGCCTGAATTTGATGAACTCAATGAATGCCGTTGTGGTCCCAAAGAAAAGTCCCTTGAAACTAATCTCCCCGAAAGGTTGGTCCAAACCGCAAGTTGGGCTACATGGGCTCCAGGGTTGAAAAGGGCTATTCGGTTGTCCTTGCTGTTGATATGTGAATGGCATGGGATCAGGTCTCCCAAAGTAGCCAAACTCACTGGGTTGGATAGCTGGAAACAACACTTGATGCAGCAGCACCGACCATACCGTAGGGATTGCCGTGAGTGTGCACTTGAGATGGCCTCCGGGCGTCCTCACAGGCGTAGGGAACATGGTGGATCATCGGCTTGGACCATGGCTATTGATGCGGTTCCCATGAAATCTGCAAAGGACTTGTGCACGGGAAAGGTCATGAAGTATGCACTAGTAGCCACAGCCCTTGTACCTGTCTTCACTCAGGAAACTCAGGACTCAGGAACGGATCCGGAAGAACGTGACCCAGCTGCTCCTTGGGATGTTGTGGATGCCTCTTGGGGGGAGGGTGATGAAAAACCGGTGGCTGATGAGAATGATGCTGATGAATATGAACCATCGATTGCGGACGATGAGGTCCCCGAAGGTAACAGTGGCGAAGCTGTTCCTATGGGTCCTCCGGGTGCTTGTGATGCATCCGGGGCGGCGGAAGCTGATGATTTGGAAAAGAAAATCATGGACATGAAAACCCCATGGAAGGTTAGACATGTGACTATGGTTGAACCAATCCAATCAAGAGCTACTGCCCATGTGATTAAGGCCCTGGATACCATCCTCACCAAAATGAACTATTTGGGGGTCACGGTTAGGAGGTTGCATTCGGATAGAGCGAAGGAACTCTTGGGTGAAAGGTTTCAGTCATGGATAGCCCACCGCAACATCTATCATTCCTTTACTTATGGTGATGATCCCCAATCCAATGGCCATGTGGAATCTGAAATTCACCAAATCAAAAGGAGAACCCGATTGTTGCTTCGGCTTTGTGATCAACCCATGGATTGTTGGCCTCAAGTGGTTAGGTATGTGGTTGACGAACG